GCTCACAGTCTTTTGGTGCACTTTTAAGCGATAAAAGTAATGCACTAATGATTAGACGTACTGTTTTTGAAGTTTCAGAGTAATATCATATTACCAAAATCAGATCATCAGCTGTCCACATTTTCAACTTCAAGTGCAAAAATATAAATGTTATCAATACGTTGAAAACAGTTAGATTTTGTAAACTTTTTGTACTCATATTTATCTGCAATAATAATACTTGAAAATGTCCAAAACTTGAACTTATTTTCTGACAAAAAATGTGCACTTTGTAAAAGCCCTAATACATGATGTTGGTGTTTTGATGAAATCAGCTGAAATAATCTTTTCAGTGTCTACAGATTTTTACAGTTTTGAAATTACACTTTCATATCATACAAAACAGCTAAAGTATACTGATGATAAGCTAAACCAACTGGTATTTTGCAGTTACTAACAAAGTTCGGTCGTTTTTTGCATCCTGCATTTTTCTCAAAATTGGCTTAAATGGAGGCATTCAAAATTTAGATGAAAAGCAGAGTATAAAAGAAGTAAGAGTAAATGCTAATCAAACAAAAAAGTGTGTTTTGAAAGTATAAAACTTCTCATCAAAAAACTACCAGAATGCCTTCCCAAACAAATCATCATACAAACGGAGCTGTTGTAAATGATGGCGGTAACCATCCAAACATTGTTCGCTCCAAACAGCCCTTACCCGACTACCCAAATGTGTCACTCTCCGAGTACATCTCTGGCCGCATTTCTAAGCACCCAAAAGCTGCCCTTGCTTTTGTAAGTTTTGCTTGTTGGTTTTACAAAGCAAACACTAACATTTTTTACCCTAAACAGATGGACCCAAACAACAACTACCAGCTAACATACGGCCAGCTTCATCTCAAAGTTCACCAGTTGGCAATTGGCCTGCTGAAACTCAACCTTCAATCGACTGACTTTCTCATGTTCTACGCCGACAACAGCCTGGAGTACTGCATTCTAGTGCTTGCCTCCGTGTACCTTGGTTTGCCTTTCTGTCCAATCCCCCCAGCTTCTGGAGCTTTTGAAGTGACTGAGCAAATAAAAGACGCCAACGGTAGTGTGCTAATTTTTGGCGCCAATAAAATGGCCACCATCGAGAAGGCGCTTCAAGAGAAGCAGTACAATGAAACTATTGCCCACTACATTTCAACCATCATCGAGATGGACGTCGATGAAGGAGAAAAGGTGCACTCGCTTCTCAAGCAACACCCAGTGACCAAATCAAAAGCAGTTTGCTCCTTTGCCGAACTGGAATCACTGGGCAGTGGAAAACAGCTATCAACAGTTCCTCATTTTCCAATCTCTGACCCTTCAACTTCAACATATTTAGTTTGCTCGACTTCCGGCTCTACGGGCAAACCCAAGATGGCTGTGCACACGCACCGGTCGATGCTGGTCACTTTGGTAAACTCCAAGATTGGCTTGAATGAGTTTGGCTATCGAGTGGCACTCTTCCATCCCATTGGTCACATTTCAGGCAGTCTCATGTGTCCTCATGCGCTTGATATGGGCATGACCATTGTGCTCTTCAGAGAGGGCGACATTGACCAGATTATGGAGACGGTTCCACGCCTTCGCATCAACTGCATCTTTTTCAGCCCAAACATGGCCAGCTCGCTTGTGCTCAATGAGTATGAGAAACGGTACGATCTCAGCTCGCTGGTATGTCTCAAGACTGGCGGCTCACGGATTGCCGACAACCTGCTGAGAAGTATTAAGGAAAAGTATGGCGCAATCTTTGAAATGTATGGGGCGACAGAAATGATGTGTGCAGTTCGAACGCGCAATCCAGAAGAAACAGAGGTCGATTATGTGCCTGGCAACTGCGGTACTACTGTGCCCGGAGTAGAAATGAAGATTGTCGACTTGAGCACGGGCGAGCCACTGCCGGCTTACCAGACGGGAGAAGTCTGCTTCAGAGGGGGTGGCTGCTTTTCGGGTTATCTCAACAATGAAGAAGCAACGAGGAGCACTATTGATTCGGATGGCTTCTACCACAGCGGCGACTTGGGTCACTTTGACGCCCAAGGACGACTCTTTATCACTGATCGCATCAAGGAGATGATCAAGTACAAACTGTACACTTTGTTTCCCGCTGAGATTGAAGATTTCCTTCATCGACACAAAGCGGTGTCCGCGGTATGCATTGTGGGCATTCATCATGCATCAGAGGGCTACTACATTCGCGCATACGTTGAGCTGGTCAAGGGAGAGACCGTCACTGAAGAAGAGCTGATTCAATACGTTGCAGGTTAGTGAATTTGCACTTTGCTCTTTTTATCATCTTGTGCTAATCTTGTTGTTTTATTCTCTCTGCAGAAAACATGGGCACTCAGAAGCGACTTCGAGCAGGAGTTTGCTTCATTGACGCAATGCCACGAACGCTAATTGGAAAAATTGATAGACAGTACTTCAAGAAACTTGTTGCAAATGAGCTGATCACTGAAATTGTTCCGTAAACTTATAACTTTTTATATTTTTAGTTTTTTTAATAATCACAAATAAAACTGCCCTTTTTCAAACTGTATTAAAGTACAAACATTGCCAACTACAAAGGCTGTACAACAAATTTTTTATCGATGAAGCACTGTATTTCTTTCTGTTTGCAGCAATCATCAACAGTATCATCAAATCAGTTTTTAATGTATCGGTATTAGCACAGCAAATTTTACGTCTCCCGCAAAGATAACAAAATAGTTCAATTTACAGATAAATGTCTCGTTAAAAATTATCAGCAATGAAGGGAGCACTGTTCCAAATGTCCTTGTACAGTTGAACTTGTCAATAAGTATTGCAATCTTTGCACCACAAAATGCTTTAATATAAATAAGGAAACTAAATGTAGTGTAAATCAAAGTAATATTTGCTTCAAAAAACACTTCAAAATAACCATCTCAAAAATGGCAGCCAGCACACCACCTTTTACCGAGGAGTACATTGTTAGATCACCAAAACCACCAAGCACAGAATCACTGCCCAAAGTGTCAGTGGCAGAGATGATGGTTGAAAAAATAAGCAGCTATGATAAAGAGCTTCTGGCACTAGTAAGTAAACTTTAGTGAATTTGATCTACTAACTGATTACTACCAAAACTTTAGATTGACACAAACAACAACAGCAATGTGACGTATGGTCAACTTCATGAGCGTGCAGCTCAATTTGCCAGCGCTCTGCTGCGACTTGGCGTTGAGAAAACCGATTTCGTGATGTTCTACGGCGAAAACTCCTTCGAGTACATCATCGCCATGCTGGGCACAGTCTACCTGGGACTGCCCTTCTGTCCTATTCCACCTAGCTCACAAAGTTTTGAACTGTCTGAGCAGTCAAGAGGAGCAAATGGAACCATACTGGTGTTCGGCACTGAAAAGGTGGCCATTGTTGAGAGAACGGCCACTGAGGCTGCCTACCGCGAGACGATGCGCCAGTTTAAGGTGCTCGTGCAGATGGAGACGGCAAAGCCAAGTGAAGCTCTGAAGCAGTTGGCCGTTCTGAAGGAGAGCGGTGCGCTCATTCACTCATTTGAGGAGATGATCAGCCAGGTGGCAGAAGGCGACAACGGCCCTCAGCTTAAAATCATTCCCCACTTTGCCGTGGACCTTAAAGCGGAGTTTCTCCTCTGCTTTACATCAGGTACATCAGGAGTGCCAAAACCGGCAATTCACTCGCATCGCTCAATTGCCCTCAGCATGACCAGAGCCTCCTGGGGCAATCGTTCCGTCGGTTTGCCCTTTATAATGTGGCATCCTCTAGGCCATGTGAGCGGAACTTTCATTGCACTGTACACCCTTTACGCCGGTTGCTCGGTGATTCTCTTTGAGAAGAGCGACCTTGAGCCAATTCTGCAGGCGGTGGAGCGATACAAGGCGATCAACTTCATGATGTCGGCGAACCAAGCGGCACCGCTCGCTGCCATCGACTACCACAAAAAGTACGACCTGAGTTCGCTGAAGGCAATCAACCACGGTGGCTCATTCATCGCCACCAGTATGCTGTTGGCCATTCGAGCCAAGTACAAAGTGGCCACCATTAACGTGTACGGCTCGACGGAGTTTATCGACTGCGTGGAAGGCTACGGGCAGCCGGAGGTGGACGAATTTCTGGTCGGTTGTGTTGGACATGTGAAGCAAGGAGTGGAGATGAAGATTGTCGACTTGCAAACGGGAAAGCCACTGCCGCCGAACGAAAACGGAGAGATCTGCTTCCGAGGGGAGTCCTGCTTCTCCGGCTATAAGGGCAACCCTGAGGCAACCGCAAAGACAATAGTGGATGGCTGGTATCATAGCGGAGATGTGGGCTACTACGACACCCAGGGACGACTCTTCATCACCGATCGCATCAAAGAGATGATCAAGTACAAACTGTACAGTTTGATTCCGGCCGAGATTGAGGACTTCGTTCAACGACATCCTGCAGTGGCGTCGGCCTGCGTCGTCGGTGTGCCCCACGCCTCTGAAGGCCATCATATTCGAGCGTATGTTGAACTGGTTCAAGGGCAAAAGGTTAGTGAAGAGGAGCTGGCAAACTATGTTTCAGGTAAAAACACTGCTGTCTACAATCATTTACTGCCTCTAAACTAACTTGTTTGTTTATATTCAGAAAACATGGGCACACAAAAGAAACTTCGAGCCGGCGTCCGCTTCATTGACTCCATGCCTCGCACGTTAATTGGCAAAGTTGACAGGCAGTACTTTAAAAAATTGGTTAAGGATGAACTGATCACTCGAACTGACCTTTGATGATGCCGAAGTTGAGTAGAGTTTGTGAAGTTCACTTGATGAAAATAAAGTTATTTTTCTGCTTCAGCCTTTTCAATGAGCACCTCTCCTTTGACCAGGTTCTTGAAATGCTGTCGATCAATCTTGCCGATGATAGTGCGTGGAATAGAGGCGACAAAATGCACACCACCATTAAGTCGTTTCTGGTATCCCATGTTATCTGCAACAAATGTTTTAGAAATAAAAAATCACAAATCCCCTTCTTTCACAAACCTTGCACGTATTGAGCGATTTCCTTTTCAGTGACCATGCTGCCATTCTCTCCTTTGTTTTTCAGCAACACATAAGCACGCAAGTGGGCGCCCTCTGTAGCGTGTTTCACGCCAACCACACAGGCTTCTACTACAGAGGGATGAGTCTGCAAGAAGACTTCAATCTCAGCAGGTGAAACGCTCCAGTGTTTGTACTTGATCAGCTCCTTAATACGGTCAGTGATGAAAAGACAACCTCGAGAATCGGCGTAACCCACATCTCCCGTTCTGAAGAAGCCAGTTTGAGTATCAATCGCCTCAGCGGTCGCTTTGGCATTGTTTAAATAGCCAAGAAAACAGTTAGGGCCGCGTAAGCAGATTTCACCTGCAAAGAAACAGTACAGGGTGGTAACAGGTATTGACAAAAAACGGTTGCTTCGCCCTACCTTCCTCTCCTGACGGAAGCGAAAAACCAGTGCTCAGGTGCACAATCTTCATCTCTACATTGGGCAACGGCTCGCCAACGTTTCCGGGCTCATAGACAGACAGCATACTGGAGACACCGCCCATAAACTCCGTTTGCCCATACAACTCGTGAACTTCAGCGTTGTAACGATTTCTCAGCCTACTGGACACCATTTCAGGCACCTTCACACCGCTGAAAAAGAACACACGAAGGCAGTTCAAATTGTAGTTAGCAGTGTAGTCAGTGGCCACCATGTCTGCACTGAGGGCGGTGAACATCACCAGAAAGGAGATTCGATACTGCTGAACTGCCTCGAGAATGGCCACTTTATCAGGTCGTGGGCCAAAGAGAACCGAGGTCATCGAGGAGGCAAAAATGTTAGCCAGCAGTATTATGCCCGAAATGTGGCCAAACGGATAGATGAAGCTGACGACCGCTTGGTGAGAGTCGATGAAGACCTTGGACGCCTGCATTGCCAGTATGGCTGCCAGAAAGGAGCGATGACTGTGAATTGCTCCCTTGGGCAAACCAGAGCTTCCACTAGTATAAATGATTGCGTATGTACCCGATTGGGGATCCACGCTAAAGTGAGGGATTGTCGCCAATGGAAGGGCATCTTTTGAGTGCTCAAGTAGCTTCTGGTAGGTGGTGATCGACTTCATTTTAAGACTTTCCTTTAAAGTATCAGCCACTGTTTCATCACCACCGTCTATAAGGATGATCACTTTAAGATGCTCAAGTGCCGTTGGGTGCTGCTCTGAAACCTGTTGAATAGTTGCCAAGTGTCGTTGACTTGCAGATATGCAGAGCACGCTTGCTTTAGAGTCAACAAGTTGTTGAGCCACTTCAAAGCACCCGTTTGCTGACTTTGCAGGCGTAGCAGGCAGTCCCAGGTAAGCCATCGCCACAATAAGTATCACATACTGTAAACTGTTGTCGCCGAAGAACATTACCAAGTCGTCTGAGCTGAGTAAAAGGTCGTCAGAAAGTAAACTGGAGGCCACATGAAGTGCTTCTTTTTGGAACTCAGAGTAGGTGGTTTTAGTGCCATTCTCTGAGTTTATCTGCAAGTTGAGTAAAAAGAAAACATTTTAATGAAAAAAAGAAATGTGCAAAACCGTACAAAGGCAATTCTCTGAGGGTTTTCATTGATGTTTCGAGTAATATTCTGCAAGAAGTACTCGCCGACTGATATGTTTGGTATTTCGTGGCTGGGAAGCTTGGATTTAACTACAAATTGATCCATTTTTGTGTTTTTACGAGCCTTTGAGTATACGAATCAGAAAGAAATAATTGACACTATGACAGTTGTCACTTCAATATATTTGTACCCAAATCAATGTTTGTTTACAAGAAATGATTTGAGGCATTTATCTGTACGAGATGTTCTGATGAGAAAGCTGCTTGTAAATAGCGACTACATCGCTGCTTAACTAAACTCCTATCATTAGGTCAATGACTTTAGATGGTGTGAGGAGAGAGATAGGGGAAAGTTAACATGCTGCACAAATTGTTTTAGTAACATTTTTAATAAAAAATAAAGTAAAAGATTGAAGCAATGACGCCAAAAGGGCGTGTGCTTAGGAAAACATTTTTTTTATACGGCGGCAGCTGCTGAAAGGTGTGCAGTCTTACGTGGCGCCGGCTACTAACAGCCTAAGCCTTAGACTTGACTTTGCTTTTAATGGCAGAGGTGGCACTGAGGACGCTGGACTTGCCGCCGGCGCCCACAACGCTGCTAGCGCCAACTTTGCTGCCCACCTTACTGCCCACTTTGCTGCCCACTTTGCTGCCCACTTTGCTGCCGCCACCGTCAATCTTGCTGCTGACCTTGCTGCCCACCTTGCTAGGGGCGACCTTGCTTCCCGGCTGACTGCCCTGCTTGCTCACCAGCATCGCCGATGACTTGGTCACCCCAGAGCGGGCACTCTCCATCTTCGCCGTGCTGGAGCTCATCTTCGTCTTGAGGGTGGCGTTGTCCTTGAGGACTGCCCCCGGTGGCAGAGAAGCAGCCGCCGAAGACTTGCCCTTCACCTTCGAGCTGTCCGTCGACTTGTTCGACTTGACGCCAGAGGCAGTGCGAGACTGGATCGGGGCCGCAGCCCCGGAGTTGCTTTTCTTGCTGCCGACGCTCTTCTGCGAGCTGCTCTGCTGCTTCGACTTCTGCGATTTGGAGGAGGCAGGTGGTGACATCGACTTAGAGGCAGCACCGCCTTTGCCCTTGCCCTTGCCGCCTTTGTCGTCCTTCTTGCACATGCACAGAACAATAACTACTATGGCGATGACGACCAGCAAAACGACCACGCCGATGATGACCCACATGACGACTTTGCTCGCTTGGGTCGTCGTAGTAGGCTTTGCGGTGATCGGCTTGGCAGTCACCGTTTTGTTCTTGCTGGTAGTAGTGTTCCCTGAAGCGGTGGTCGAATGAGGTGTTGTTGGGGTTGTCGGAGGGGGAGTAGTAATGCTGGGAACAGTCTCCGTGACCATTGATCCAGGCTCCTCGCTAGGGATGGAGAAGTCAATTGACTCAGTGCTTGCCGGCTCCTGAGAGTGGACCGCACTGAAAGCACAAGCCAGAAAGAGTGCTCCAAGGCTGAGGATGGCCAACTTTGAGGAGGTTGCCATGCTTCGCTTGCTGTTCCCAAAGCGGGCAGATATAATCATCTTCATTGGTTGCAGTTTTTGTTTCTCTTCAATCAGAAAATGCAGTTTGAACGTAGTAGTGGCAGAACGTAGATGAGCAGGTATGACGATGCAAAAGCTTTAAAAAGATTTGTTCGCTTTCTGAAACAAAAAATTGACAAATNAGATATAATCATCTTCATTGGTTGCAGTTTTTGTTTCTCTTCAATCAGAAAATGCAGTTTGAACGTAGTAGTGGCAGAACGTAGATGAGCAGGTATGACGATGCAAAAGCTTTAAAAAGATTTGTTCGCTTTCTGAAACAAAAAATTGACAAATGCAACAAGAGAGACAATCAACAAAGTAGTGAATTGAAAAAAGTGTTGACATACGCGTTTTATAAGCAAATGAAAAATTGCAAGAATCAAGTTCGAAAACCTATTTTGCGACATTGTTCTAATTAATTAAACTGTTGATGTCTTATTTTATACTATTGTAGAAACACCATTCGGAATGAGTGATTTACTCCAGATCGATGAATCCGTCTTCTCCTCAACTTTGCCACTTTCCAGACTTTTTAGATCAAAGCCAAATGAGCTTCGCACCAGTCCCTCTCTCCGCGGATCCGTTGATAACGACTTTGGACTGTTGCCAAGTTCCTCATTGGTAGAAGTGTGCAGCTTTTCAAGGTACCGCCTTAGTGAAGGCATCTTCACTCTTCTTTCCACCTCTTCACTGCCTTGGTGTTGCACTTCAAAGCAGTGGAGCTTCTCGGCAAGGTAGTAGACAAACCAGACAATGAGGATAAGCAGAATAACCAGTAGAATGAGTAAAAGAACGACTTTAGTGAGATAGGTTATGTCCATCAACAACAATTTCTCAGCGGTTTCAAAATGCCGATAAAAAGAGAAACCCTATAAGCATTTTCACACTACACTTTTTATAATTCAAAAGTTCTATTTTTTAAACTTAACACAATANTTGCTCAGCGGTTTCAAAATGCCGATAAAAAGAGAAACCCCATAAGCATTTTCACTCTACACTTTTTATAATTCAAAAGTTCTATTTTTTTTTAACTAAACACAAAATTTTTTTAGAACAGAAGACAATAGTACTTACATAAAAGGAGAAACTAAACAACTATCAAATAAAGCACATTTTAGTGCAGAATGTTTTTCCTAGACATGGACTCAATTTTCTTTCTCGGTAAAAAGATGACAGTAAAATGCATGTTTCTTCTTTGACATCACTCTTTCACTTCCTTTCAGCTGGCATCATCTGCACTCTCTGCACAGTAGTGACCATCTACTGTCACTGCTGCACTAAAAATGGTGGCGCCTGCAGCTGCTGTGGTCCCAGTAGACAGTCCACACAGTACAGTGACCGGGGAAGTGGCAGCAGTAGAAGTGGAAGAGGAAGAGGCGGAAGGAGATCTACATCAACAGCAGGCTCCAGCTCCACAGGTAGTCACACCTCTAAAGGTTCGAAAAACAAACAAAAGGTTCAAAGTAAGTGGGAGCAAAACTAGTGGAAACAGTTTTAAACTACAAACTGATCGTTTTTTGTTTACTTCGCAGTCATTCGCATACGTGGCCTTTCTAAAAGTCGCGACAAAAGTCGCAACAAAAGTCGCAACAAATCAGCTGCTTCCTCTTCAAGTCGACGTAACAAAAAATAAATTAAATTTATCTTAAAAATAAAGTTCGATTTTAAGCATAAAAAACACTGTAAATTACGTTGGTTTTCATTTTTTTTTTCAATTTGCATTTTTGAATTTACATCATCACAATGGGCTGCGGTGCTTCAGGTAAAACTTCGGTGTTATTTTACTGACTGTACAACTTTAACATTGAAAAACCTTCTTTTATCAACTCTGAAGCTGATCCTAAAGAGACCGAGAAAGGAGTGAGTGAAAATGGTCAACCAAAGAAGGACCTGTTTCCAGGAGGAAAAGCCTTTGAAGTTGAAGCTGACGCCAACTTTGACGATGACAGTGACGACCCGTTGGATGCCGCAGGTGCTGGTGGAAAAGTTAACTACGGAAAAGCACCCGTCAAAGCACAGGAAAAACAGTTGATAGAAGGTGATGGGGAAAAGGAGGAATGTGGTGATTTAGATGAAGTTCAAACGAAGATGGAAGGCAAAGAAGGCGCAGAAGAGGTCTTTGAGCCCACTGCGGAAAAAGGCGCTGAAAAGGAGCTGTCCATGAAAAAAGTTCCTCCGGAAGCGCTAATCATGAAAGAACCCGTCAAAAATAAACTTCAAAAGATGGATTCTAAGAAAGCTGAAAAGAAGCAAAAAAGCAGTAAAAGCAAACGAGGAGATAAAAAGTCTAAATCGAAATCAAAGAAAAAGAATGCAAAAGCATCATCTTCGAAAGCAGTGAAGCCAAAGAAATCTCCGTCTAAGAAAAGCTCAAAAAGTTCAAAGAAGAAAAAGTCGAATTCAAAATCTAACAAACCAAAGAAGAGTGCATCTGCAAAAGCAAAGGCTTCTTCAACTGCAAAAAAGTCCTCAGCTGGAAAAAAGAAGAAGAGCTCTTCTACTAAACCAGCAGCGGGCAAAACCAACAAGCCGTAGCTCTCAGCTAGTTGTTCAGTGCAAAATTGTTAAGGCATCAGTATTTTCAGGTTCTTGTTTTGCCAGTAACACAAAAATAAAGATGTTCTTCATAATTTTTCTTTGTTCAAAATACCGAAAACTAAAAAGTTCAGAATTTTATTGCACAACAAAAGAGAGACGTGCTTTCTCAACAAAATTCCAAACCCAGCATAAAAACGGCGTCATCAGATCACTTTTGACTCAAACTAAAAGCGTGTGACTCTTTGTACAGCGTTCTTTCATTTTAGAAGCACACCAGTCGAGACCAGTCAAAGAGAAGAAGCAAAGCAGAGAATGCCGTTGAAGGACGTCAAGCGAACTGCGAGTGAACTGCCCAACGTCTCCACTGACCGGGGCAATGGCGCCGACCCAAATGTCATACCCGAGACAGATATGGCCATCCTGAAGACGCTCGGCCTGGCAGTGGGCAACCGACTGAAGCGTGGTCGCTACGGGGTCGTCTTTGAGGGCCACTTCACCGAGGCCTTCTCAGTGGCCAAGCTGGCTGAGGCGGGGCAGTTGACGGGTGAAGGAAGTGCCGCTGCTGCTGGTGCTGTCGGGGAAAAGTCGGCGAAAGTGGAGTTGCAGAAGAAGCCACTGCTGCACTACCTCTTTATCCGACCGGAGCAGAAGAGGGAAGTGATCGCCTGCAGTGAGAGCATCAAAAGCAACAGCAGCATCGACAGCAACAGCAGCGGAGGCAGCATCAGCGTCAGCAGCGACGGCAACAGCAGTGGCGGCGGCCTAAACGACATGGCCCCCGGACGCAAGTTTGGCCTCAAGTTCTGCGACATTGAGCTGCGCAAGGCGTACCACATTGAAGAGGTGGAACAGCGACTGATGGTGAGCAGACTTGAGACATGAGAGCGTATTCTAAACCCCTCTTCTCTCTTCCTGTTCCAGCAAGAAATCAACTTTGTGCGTCGCGTGGACTACACGGCGAGCACGGGCGCCATCGTCCGCCACTACGCCGTCTTCGCCACCAGCGCCACCCGCTACTACCTGCTGATGGAGCTGGCGGAGGACAATCTGCAGTGCGTCATCAGCGCCTACGTGGCCGCCAATCGACTGCTGCCGGCGAAGCAGGTGCTCGCCATGTACGCCTCTCTGGTGGCCGCCGTCCGCTCGCTGCACCAGCAGAAGCTCACCTACGGAATGATGCGCACCTCGAACATACTCGTCTTTGGGCAGACGACGCCTTTGCCCCCTCCCACCACCACCACCACCACCAACACATCGTCACCAGTCACTCCGCAGACTACTGCTGCAGTGGGCAAGGTGGGCGGAAAAGTGGGCGGTCAACAGGAGGTGAGTGGTGGTGGTGTGAAGGGCAGCACTCCCACCATTTCCACTTTTTCCAGCCGTGAAACCGCTCCCTTTCACCTGAAGATCGCCGATTTCGTCGCCTCAAAGGACGCCTCAAACATCACCGCAGACGCCTTCGACGAGGCAGTGGAGGGTGACCTGGACGACCTCTACTACGTCCACTCGGAGCTCTTCACGCTGACCAAGCTCGACTTTGCGCAGTTTCTCGCCTTCAGAGAGTCGCTGAAGATACTGACCGACTTTGGCACCCGTCGCAACGCTATGGACATTCTCGACAAGGTCCTCGAGATGGTGCGCAAGTTTGCCCTCGAGCAGAAGGAGTAGTAGGCTTCGGTCGCTTCTTGGAGCAAAAACACATCAATTGCCTTCTGGTATTCTTGTTGATTTTAACTTTGCAATTTTTAAAATGCACCCCAGCACCACCAATGGCTTCTGTCTCTCCGTCAACATCATCTTTTTTCATCTTTTTCTGCCTCCTCCTCCATTGCTTCCTGCAGTCTGCTGCTGGCCAGCCACTGACGCTACCAAAACGCCCACATTCTGCACTCTTGCCAGCTTTCTACGGCTACAGCTACGGCTCGCTGAACAGCATCCTCAGCTCGTGGGCCCACAGTACGAGGAGCTGAAATACCGCTCAACTTCCGCCTGCAGAAGGATCAAGAACTATGCGGTAAAAGCAATGAGCTCACTTAAATCTTCAAGCAATTGAGTCGGTTTGCTGAGCTATAAAGTGTCATCAAATGCTCCATAAAAGTAATAGTCTCCTACTAGTTTCTCTACTGATACTTCGGTGGCGGTTGTTGTTGCTGTTGCTGGTAGTACTCCTGCTGATACGGGTAGCCAGTGGTGGGCTGAGGGTAATATCCACCAGATGAGGGTTGATTCGGGTAAAGCCCTGCTTGTGCCCCGTAACCAGAAGGAGGAGGGGGAGGAGGGGGAGGGTAATTGTGGACCGGTGGTGCACTTCCCTGAGGGTGCATGCCATAGTTGCCTGCTGCTGACTGCTGTAGATTTATTGGCACCGATGGAAATGAGCCAGCTCCTGAGCCGTAGAACATGTCGTTGGAAGAAGGAGAGAAACCGGTAGAGGAACCAGTGGTATTGTCAACAGGTGTGGTCTCCGCCGTCTCCTCAACGCCATCATCATCATCAGCAGGCATCTCCTGCATCTCCTGATCGGGATTCAGCGAGGGCACCTGCTCCACACTACCAATCAGTGATCCAATGTACTTTTTCGTCTTTTTCGGAGCCAGTGTTTTCTTTTTTCGCTTTTTGCCACGTTTTCTCTTGGACTTTGCCACCGGCCTTTGCTCGTCGTAGAAAGCGGTCTCACGAGATTCAAACGCACCGGCAATGTAGGCGATCTCACAGAGGATCAGGAGAACGAAGAAGCCACCTACAGAGATGAAGATGAAGGTTTGAAGTGCTGCAATAAAGGTGAAAGTTTAAATGTAAACAGTTTGTAAATGGTAACTCCTCACTACTCACAAAGTCCAAAGGCAAAGGTTTCCTTTCTGATGACCATCTTTGGGTCACAGTGAAAGAGGTGCTTCAGTGGGATTCGGGACACAATTGTACTGCCACCACCAACCACATCGGAGCGACGGAAGGCGTACGCGTAGAGGAGGTTGATGATAAAAACCACTCCTTCGTACTCAAAAAGAGTCGCATTGAAGGCCTCATTGGTGCGCCAGACGACGGGACACTCCAGCGAGTCGTTCTTAATGGCCCCCTCCAGATTGGCCTTCTCGACGAACTGCATCGTAAACTCGCCGTTTCTCTTCAGTGAACTTTTTACGCGGCACTTTGTCAGCGACTGAAACTTCTCGTGAAAGTCATCAGAGGTGGCGTGCTTGAGAAAGGTCTCATTAAAGTCCATCGATTCAGTGTCGTTCTTGCTGAAGCACTTGCCAGTTTGTTTGTTATTCTGCTTTGGAAAATGCCAACATTTACAACCGTTTACAAACACAAGCACTTACCTCTGTCTTATTGAAGAAGCAAAACCACGACTTGTCCTTGTAGACGATGGCCTCGGTGTCTCCGGCCACCACTGATGTCAGTCCAGGCCACCTTACCGCCCACTGTCCGGTGGAGGCCTTCTCCAGACTGATGCGCACTCCTCGATCGGGAGAGAGACGAATTGCATCATCGTCACCATTGCCACCACCCACTTCGTAGTACATGCCCAGGTAGTCAAAGATGAGCAGCCGTTTCTCCTTCGGGTAGCCAAAGATGGCCGCAATGGGAATGTACACATCTTCCTCTTTGTTGAGGTAGTAGCAGATGTGAGTGTTCTAGAGGAGTGACAATTAAAAAACAAAAGAAAGAGAAACATCAGTGACCACTTACTACATCTGTTTCAGAGCTCGGTGGAGACAATTCGACCACAGTCGGCATTACCACAAATGCAAACACTATCAGTAAAAAGGAGTTCATGAAACTTGCTCGAGAAAAAAAGAGATAAGTTTGATTAAAAACATTCGAGCAATATATTTGCATGTTTGAAACAAAACTCAATAAAATTTTAGAACTAAAGAAAGTTTTTGAAATTCAAGAGTGTTCCGGAAATCTACGTAATCAGCTGATTCAGTGACAAACAAAGGATTTTGGCAACGAGTCTTCTGCTCTGACAACAAGTTATTTCTCTTCAAAATGACCTCAAATAGAAATCCTGGTGCCGACAACATTGCGACAACGGCCATCACCGACTACAACTGTAATTCAGAGGAATTTGCAATACTCAAATCATCTGGTTACGTCGCTGTGGAAGGCTTCGATCGAAACGGTCGCTACTTGAAGACCTGGGAAGACTGGTCGAGCGTCGATCTGACCACCAGCAACTATCAGCTGTACTTTATGTCACTGACAAGACCGGAGAAGAAGATTGTCCACTTTGACCTGGCCGATGAAGAGCACCTGGCGGCGGCAAAAGAGCTCCTAGAAGCGGAATGCATCATCAAACTGACGCGCATCGTCGCCTTCTCCTCTCGACTTCTTCAACAACGACACAACATTGAACTGCACTCTGTTATCGATCTGACTGCCGCCCACTACCTCGTCAACCAGGTGGGTCTGAACAGCGGTGACTTTGTTAGCGTGTCCCTTCTCGAGGATTACGGCGAGAACATCGTGGAGAACATGTATCGACTCGCCAAATGTTGGCTTCGTCTGTACGGCAACTTGTACTGTAACCTGGTTGACCTGACCAAGACGCATCTAGACCTCTTCCGCTCCTTTAAACTCCAATAATAATAAATCAACAAGTGAAAACAGTTTTACCAAATTCATTTCCAAGTGAAATCATGAATCATGAATCATGATTCATGATTCCCCGTTGATGGCGAGGAAAGAGAGAGAAAGCGAAAGACAGCCTCTCTCAGTTCTGACGTCACAGCAGATCCGCCCATCGCGTACACTACTGCTCCTCTCTACACGCTACTCTTCTGTTTTGTTGCCGGCGAGCTGTCAAAACATTGAGCCGGCAACAAAAAAACTGCAACGCAGCTGCAATTCTCAGTCACCCACGCCCGAGACGATTTCTTCCACTTCCAGTATCCTGATTCAGTTCCGATAGCCTGCTCGGCAACTACGACAACAATCGCCTTCGTTGTGCTGGCGAGATTCAAAACCAATTCGAAGATATCTCAATCAACCAGAGTTTACTGTGTGTTTGTTTCTATTTTTATTGCAGCCAGCAAACATCAAGCTAAACAACAGCATTCCAGTGCATTGTTGGTCGTCGCCTGCTTATCGTGTCTGCTTTCCCTGACAACAAAACATAAAAGCTCCATCACTCATTCGCCATTGGGCATTTGCAAGTTTGCCTTCTTTTTCTGGCTGCCTTGTTGGCTGTCTACTTTTACCAGGTACAGCAAACAGTACAGGTGTGTATTTGTGTGTGCTTATCAGTAGATGTATTGTATAGAACAGCAGTCACCTAGTTTTTTATTGCCCATGGCTGACACTGTCACCCAGCACGGGCAACGGCTTTTTATTGCNAGGTACAGCAAACAGTACAGGTGTGTATTTGTGTGTGCTTATCAGTAGATGTATTGTATAAAACAGCAGTCACCTAGTTTTTTATTGCCCATGGCGACACTGTCACCCAGCACGGGCAACGGCTTTTTATTGCCCCATTTGGTGATGATATAACACTGCTGTACTTCTTCTTCTTAACTTGCTGATTCACATCAATCGCTGACACTTCATCTTTTCCCTTCCTCACAGAAGCCTTCAGACGCACAGCCAATTGCAGATCATTTGTTGAAGATGGCCGCCACTCCTGCCGAACTGACCGCCGCCGTCAACGGACAGGCGCCCTTTGTCGTTGACCTGCTGAAAGCACTGTACCAGAAGGACAAAAATCTTGTCCTCTCACCGTACTCGNGATGGCCGCCACTCCTGCCGAACTGACCGCCGCCGTCAACGGACAGGCGCTCTTTGTCGTTGACCTGCTGAAAGCACTGTACCAGAAGGACAAAAATCTTGTCCTCTCACCGTACTCACTGGTCTCTGCTCTGGCGCTCCTTCTGCCGGGCACCGATGGCGAAAGTCGCTTCGAAATTGCCCGCGTCATCTTTGACCAGGCGGCCAAGGACGCTTCTGCCGCTGATCGCCACGTGGAGCTTTTTGCGCAGACCAATGACGCCAACTTGAAGACCAACTCGGAGACGCTTCGCATTGCCAACCTGCTGTACTCGCATCTGAGGTAAGCACTGGTGACGTGTTCTTTTATTTTAAGTTTTGCTAATCAAATCTACTGTTGTTGTTTCCACCAGTTTCCCGCTGAACCCGCAGTACGTGGCCACGCTGACGAAGCGCCTGCGCGCCGTCGCCAAAGAGCTGGACTTTGTGGGCAAAAACGACGTCGCTCTGGCCACCATCAACAGCGATGTGTCAGAGGCCACCAAGGGCCTCATTCCCAGCCTGCTGGACTCCATCGACCCGGCCACCCGGGTGATCCTCGTCAATGCCATCCACTTCAAGGGTCTCTGGGCAAGGCAGTTCGACAAGTCGCTGACCGCCGCTGACGCCGACTTCACGAAGAGCAACGGCCAGGTGGTGAAGGCGGCTCTGATGTACAAGAAGGCCAAGTTTCCCTTCTACTACGACGAGGAGAGCAAGGCCAAGTTTGTGCAGCTCGACTACAAGCCCGAGGGCGGCAACATCGCCATGGTGGTAGTCCTCCCTGACGCGGGCACCACTCTCGAGTCGTACATTCGCAACTCCCTCAAGGCTGCCACGCTCCAGGAGAAGCTGCAGCTCTTGGCGACGGACGCTGACGTCCGCCTGAAGCTGCCTCGCTTCAAGCTCGAGTCGACGCACTACCTCTCAGGGCCGCTGCAAGGCCTGGGCGTCCGTTCGGTCTTTGGCCCCAAGGCAGACCTGAGCAAGCTGAGCAGCGCCTCGCAGCAGCTGTACGTCGACCAGGTCATCCAGAAAGCGGTCATCGAGGTGAATGAGGAGGGCACCGAGGCGGCGGCCGCCACCGCCATTATGATGCGCTGTCTGATGCTCAGCCCTGAGGAGGAGTTCACCGCCGACCGACCCTTCCTCTACATGCTCGTCGCACAGCACGGCTCCGCTCGGCAGATTCTCTTTGTCGGCACAGTGGAGGATCCCACCAAGTCGCAGTAAACAGTGCTCTACCAAGTACACCTGTTTTGGTGTCTAACTGTAGCTGCTTTGGAGCTTCACTTTTTGAAATTAAATAAACTAAAGTTGCCGAATCTGTCAGTGTGCCTGTTGAAGCATCGGTGATTAAGTTGAAACTACTGATGAGGTTGCTGCTGAGTAGAAGAGACTTTTCCACAACTTGGAATGATCATGCAATCATATAATTCTGCTTTTACTCGAAACAATAAAAAACATTTTGCCGGCCTAACCCTTCAGTGGTGTTGACTTGTGTTCTAGAGAAACTTGACTCCATAGGAGTTGTCCATCTTCATGATGGTCGCCTTGCCTTTGTCCTCGAGAATTTTGAGCGCCTTGAGGAGAATTCGCTCGTCCAGCCCCTTCAGCGATGAGTCCGCCCGCTCGTCGTCGGTGATCTCGTAGAAGGTGCAAATGGTGTTTGCCATCGACTTGGCGTCTACCCACTTCTCCACTGTGCTCGCCCACTCGTCGGGCTTCAACCAGAAGACCAGGCACTCCTGCTGGCGGTTGCCACCGTCAGTGTTCTTGTTCTTCTTCTCGCTGGTGCCCTCTGGCCGGACCCACTCTATGCGGCCGCGTTTCGCCATCTCCTGCAGTATCGTCAGCAAACTTTCCTCAGTCAGACTTCGACTGATGGCGTCATTGCGAAAGGGCGCCTTGGTCAGGCAGTCGCCAATGTTGAGCGAGAAGATGCGGTTTCGCCGACAGTAGTCGAGAATGATCTCCGTCCAGGCGTCCATCTGTAGACGCCTGGTTTCAGTATTTGGCTGAATGGTGAAGAAGGGCGGAAAGCTGTACTGCCAGTAGTCGGACATTGTGACCGGTGGTGAGTTGACGACCAATTCTGCTAGACTAAACAAGGGTGAGCTACTGTTTACCAAACATCCGAAAGACATTTTACTTACTCTTTTAGCCAAACAAAAAACGTCAAAAGTAGATTCACATGAGGTTGTTTACAGTCTAGTCAGCTGACAGATCGACTATTTTCACGGGTTTCGTTCGGGAAGTTTTGTTGACGTAACCAAAAAAGAAAAAAAACATTTTGCAAGTGACATCGGCTGATATTGTTTCCAGGCTCGGCCGCCGCCGTATCTCATTTGCACCATTCATTAACTTTCATCGCCGACTAGCTGGCAGAAAAATGAGGCCAACTTCGTTATCGCAATAGCTGACCTGAGCATCGAGGAAGAACCGTTTGTTTTTGCTGGCACAACAGGTGAAGGAGAAGCCGTTCTGTTGCTATATTCGAAAACAGCTGTTATACTTTAAAGTGTTCTATTGGTACCCATCTCACTGGTTAGCCTGTGACCATGTCTTTCGCTCGCTTCTTGAGATATTCTACGACCATCGGCATTGGTGGATATTCCGCCTACGTTCTGCAGCAGAACAACTGGTGAGTGGTGAAAAGTGCCGATGATGCCCCAAAGTCTAAAGTCGTTTTGTTGCAGGGACGCCCGGAACATTGGCATCGTTCGCTTCGGCCGCGCTGCCTGGATCGTCGGCCAGGTGTCGGTTGACTACAAGTTTTCCGTCTCCGAGTTGACGGATGATTCGGAGGAGACCTGCGAAAAGTGGTCGCAATGCCACCTCCGCTCTGCGCAGCGTCTGCTGAAGCTGTGCTCCCAGAACGGCGGCGTCTTCATCAAGGTGGGCCAGCACATTGCCGCGCTGGACTACCTCGTGCCGAAGGAGTACGTGGACACACTGAAGGTGCTGCACAGCAGAGGCCCACGAACCGACCTGATTGACATTGAGAAGGTGATCAAGGAGGAGACCGGCAAGGAGGTGAACCAGCTCTTTGACAACTTCGACCCGGAGCCGCTGGGCGCCGCATCGCTGGCGCAGGTGCACAAGGCGACGCTGAAGACTACCGGGGAAACGGTGGCGGTGAAGGTGCAGCATCCCAACGTCCTTCGCCACAGCGTCGTCGACATGGCCACCATGGAGTTCCTCTTCACCGTCGTCTCGAAGATATTTCCCAGTTTCAACTTTCTGTGGCTCGCCGCGGAGACCCGGCGAAACTTGCCTTTTGAGCTGGACTTTTACAATGAGGGCAAAAACTCCGAGACGATGGCGGGCATTTTGGCTAAGTTTCCCTGGCTGAAGGTTCCCAAGGTATGATGGATGGCGGTGGTCACTTTGTTGCGTCATTACTATTTGCTTTTTCTTCACAACAGATCTACTGGAACCTCACCTCTAAGCGGACACTGGTCATGGAGTACGCTGAAGGAAATTTCGTCTCCGATCGGGAGTACTTTATCAAAGCGAAAATCGACACTGCCGAACTGTGCAACCGAATCGAGCAAATGTACAGCGAGATGATTTTTCTCAGCGGCACCGTCCACTGTGACCCTCATCCGGGCAACATTCTGGTGAAGAAGAACGGCCGCGACTTTAACATTGTCCTCCTCGACCATGGCCTCCTCACGGTTAGTACACTGACATAATTTGCAGTGTTGTTGTTGAGCAGCTTTGTTGATCTGGCTCTTCCTTTTCTGCAGCGACTGACGGACGAATTTCGCGAGACGTACTGCTGCATGTGGATGGCAGTGCTCAATGGCAATGAGCCGGAGATCATTCGATGTGCGAAGAAGATGGGCATCGACCTGGGCAAGGAGCACTACGCACAGCTGCTCAGCTGCATGATCACCGCCAAGCCCTGGTCAGCGGTGAAGCGCGGCCTGGCGAATGTGCCCGACGAGAAGACGAGAAACGCTGAGGTAGGATATGATCACTTTTTAATGCCACTCGAAACTGACCACGAATTTCTGCCTGAATTCTCACAGAAAGACGAACTGCGCAAGAACGCCTCTCGCTACTTTGGCGACATCAGCAAGATCCTCGCCACCGTCGACCGGCAGCTGCTGCTGCTGATGAAGACGAATGACCTCATTCGGTCGATCGCCTTCACACTGGGCAATGATGAACGCCGGTCGTTCCTCACCATGACCAAAGCCTGCTACTCGATGCTGCAGCAGAAGAAGGCCCGAGAGTCAGGCAACTCGCTGGTGAAGCTGGCCTTGCAGATGCAGTCGCAGTGGTTCTTCTTCAAAATTTGGGTCTACTCGCTGTACCTGTGGCTTACCTGGACCGGACCCAGTCGGAAGATGGTCGCTTAGGGAAGCCTCTAAAGCTGCTGCCGAAGTGCAATATACAAGCCTTTACCCCGGTGTCCATCTCTTTGAATTAGGTTCACACCCTGTGCATTCTGTTTTCTCTCCTCTAAAATCTCATAATTTATCTCCCCGTTCAAAAACAAAACAGGCAATTGGTACTATTTCCCGAATGGCTTTTATGTTTGTGCATTTAACGAGCGGTGAACAAAAAAAGTATATAGATTTGTAGATAAAAAAAGTGAGCCGAGTTGGAGTTGGAGTTGAAGTAGAATTGTAAAATAGTTGTGCGGGGCTGCTCCTCCAACGGCGGAACATGATAAAGAGATGCGTGGAAGAGGGAGAAAGTTTGTGAAAGATGTTGAGTATCAAAAATATGATGATGAAATAGAAAGGGGTCGATTGTGGGGATAGGAGAGATTTGGCATCTGTGGAGGGGGGACATTGAAAGGAAGGGAAGACTCTCCGGTCGGTCAGGGCTTGAACTTGATCATCGGTATCTGCTTGCTGTTGAGGCAAATATCGCAGACCCATTCCGCGTACACCTCCTGCTTCAGCATGATGAACGCCCGCTCGCTGAGACCGGTACAGGCGCGGTGGAACCAAAAATTGCAGCCCGACTCGCAGAGGATGCCCTGGTCGGATTCGGTGACCTCCTTGTGGCAGATGCCGCACGGGTAGATGGGCGGCGCATTGGGATTGTTGGGGTTGAAGACCATCGACTGCTCCGGCGGGTACGTTCGCCCGGGCATCATTGAGCTGGGGGGAGGCGGGGGGCCGCCCGGATGGGGGCCAGATCCAGGCGGTGGTGGAGGGCCGCCCATGCGAGGCGGCGGTGGGCCGTTCATGCCTGGAGGTGGTGGTGGTGGTCCGTGAGGTGGTCCGTGTGGGTGACCTCCGCCGCCGCCCGGACCATGTGGGCCGCCGGGATGAGGCCCTCGAGGTCCCATCATACCCGGTGGCGGTGGGCCGCCCATCATCGGCATTCCATTCGGGCCACAACCAGGCCCGCCCATCATCATTCCTGGTGGCGGCCCGTGGCCATGTGGAGGTGGTGGCCCGTGAGGCATTTGGCCGCCAGGTCCCATAGGGCCGCCCATGTTGGGTGGCATTCCGTGCGGCGGCATTCCTTGAAGCCCTCCCCCAGGGCCTCCGGACATCATCGGCGGTGGGTTGTCGTCGAATGGATTGGAGGCAAAGAGCGTGTCCCCGTAGCCGCTGTGTGGCTGTGGAACGTACATCTGGTGCCCTGGGCCGCCCATTCCGCCAGGGTCGCCATTCTGGTGCATGTGACTCTGAGGACCGGCATTAGCGTTTGCATTTGCCGCATTGGCGCCCCTGTTTGCCGCCGACCCTCTCCGCTTCTTTGCTGGCTTTGGCGGTGCTTCGGAGCCATCTTCAAGGGTCACCACGGCAGGTGTCTTTTTAGGTTTCCGTTCTCGAGGCATTTATCTTTACGCCAGACAAGTTGTTGACATCAAACTGCCTGTTTCACCACAACAAAAATGATGCGTTGGAGGAGTTGAGGATCAGTTGACTGAAATGATGATTGATCTGCTGATTGTCGTTAAACTTAATGAAATAAAAACAGGTAACTTAGCATCCGATGATGAGATCTTCAACATCACAACAAACATGAAAATGAAGATGCACAGAAGATTCAAAACAGAGGCCTTATGTTGATGAGAAAGTTGAGCACAGGGACACTGTTGCCTGGTGAGCTCATTTGTTTATTGCTGCGTGTTGGGTAATCAGTGAGCGCGATTCCCCTTCACTGACCGGATGAAGGTATCGGCTGTGAAGATGTCGGTTATCGGTTATCATCACTGATCACCGTCCATTAGAAGGTGGTCAGATCGGGCATCCAAAATCTGCTGTCTTGCAAGACAGATTTTCGCCTATTGTCATCGATCGGTGTGACTGCAGTCGATACAGTCGCCAATTTGAAAAAAAGAAAAAGACACAAAATCTGCAGAATTACAACAGAATGGCTGTTTTTATTGTTAAACAATATATCAGATCAAGACAGTAGAGAAATCTTGGTGGTAAAATATACAAAAAGCAACGTTAAAAAGTAGTAAAAGTAGTATTTGATTGGCTCACTGCCAAAGTGATCAGTACCAGTCATTGATGCTGTAGAGATCTTCGTAGGCGTTCTCATACTCGGTAAGCAGTGGCAGGTGATCGCGGTAGACACTGTGACTCTTGGCGACAGTGACCACCTTCAGGTCGACCATTCCGCGGTGACCCACACGGTACAGGTCCGTCTGACCGGTGGACCAGATGACCAGGGCGGCGCTGTTGCCCGTCTGTTCGTTCCACTCCTGGATCTGCTCCACCCTGCCCTTCTTGCCGCCGTCCTGGTTCTCCCAGGTCCAGTCAATGCCTACGGTAGAATTCAAACATTAAGCGACTTTGACCATCGAATCTTATCAACAGTTGTACCTCTGACCACTTTGGCACCAGGCAGGATGCCTCTCAGTGGCACCTTCTTGGCGCCCTTTCTTGGGCCAACGGTTCTCCGTTGATCACTGAGAGGAGAGTCGATTCGATAGAAGTGGTGCTTGACGCTGTGCTGATCAGTATGGTAGCACTGGGAGCAGAGGTCGTAGTTGATGCAGACGGCGCACTGCCAGCGAATGCCGAAAATGCCCGCTCGGTGGTGGCAACTGTCGCAGATGGCACTTTCATGGCGAACTCCACATGGCCCGGTGTCCACGAGGTGGACGTCTTCGGGACGATAGTTGGCAATGGTGCCATTATCCCAGGCGATCACCACGATAATTGGCTCGCCAGGGTAGAGCTGGTTCACCTGACGAATCGTTCCAAGGTGGCCGTCGCCGCCGTCCTAAACAGATATTTAACATATTGGAAAAAGATAGAACACAAATGACACACAAACACTTTACCTGTTTAGACCACTTCCAGTGCTTTCGATTGCGAATCACACGGGCGCCAACGACATCGGCGACATCCAAAGCGAGCATCTCGTTCTCTTCTCAGCTTGTTACGCGAGCTTTAGTAGTGACTTGTTGCCTGGCCGCTGTTGCCAACTCGAATGCCATCACACAGCCATTCATCTTTGTCTCCAAAGCTCGGTCATCGGAAGCAGCAGCAGCAGCAGCAGCTTTCTTTGAAGCAGCCTTAAGAGAGCTAGCATTGTGGCACGAGCCGCAGTTTTAAAAGCGGCGAACATCTGGCGTGGGGAGGCGACAGAGAGAAGGCCTTTGGAAGTGCGAGAACGCGTCATAGCACGCGTCCTGACGTGCGGCAGATGTTTTCTCCTCTGACCTTTGCACTACTTCCACCAACAGGCGGACAGGTCAGCTGCAGCAGCAGGGCGACCCGAGGGGAAAGAGTGCACTGCTGACACGCGCGCGCTCGGGCAAGCTCTTAAATCGGCCCAGACAATGGTCATTGAGGAAACGATAGACGAGACCACTGGCGAGGCAGGGATTCCTTACTAGGGAAAGCTCGTCTCTAGGCCCGCAGGCGACAGCTGTCCTGGTACGTCTTCTACGACTGGCGCGACGATTTAAATTTTCGGTTGGCTTGAGAAACAAATCAAACAGCCACTCTTCTTGCACATTCTTCACTGGCCAACGCGCGCGCAACTGTCACCAAAACATCTAATCGAGTTTTGCATCATCAAACTGTTTGTTTGTTTGGAACCACCAGTCACCGTGATGGAGCAAAAAGAAAACAAAGTAAATTCAAATCCCAAGAAGCGGCTGTCACAGTCATCTTCATCGCTCTTTGCGAAACCACTTTTGAAGCCAGTTCCGAGAGCTGACATCGCCAAAAAGTCAACAACAACTTCTAAAGCCAATAGCAAGCCTGCTCTTGCAACACCAACTTCGGTGGCTACCACTGAGAATGGCTTCAAAACACCGTTTAAACCAGTGCAATCACGCATCAAAGCGACCAGTTCAACTACTGATCTTGGCAACATTAAGGCAAAGATTCAAGAGGAGATGGCTGCACTGGACATTGAAAAGCCACTGCTGGATCCAATAAGTAAATCAGTAATGAAGCCTACTGTACGTCAAAATTTGCTTTTAAACAAAATCAACACACCACTCTCAGCAAAGAAAGGTAAGCAACTTTGTGTGCAACAAAATCTTTATGGCTGTTATAAATGTTTCTTTTAACCCATTTCAGCTCCAACCAACTTTAAGGGCACATTTAATTTCGATCCTACATGCGTCACTGGCATTCCGTTGATTCAACCAAAGAAGACTACAGTCCCAAAGCCATTCACGTTTGCCTCTGACAAGTTGGCTGCCAAACGAGCAATTCCAAAGTAGAATAACCTAACCTAATCTGCATCCTCATCACCATCTTATTCTTAAAGATGACAACTGTAAATATTACAAAACAGAGATTTATTTTCCAAGTGTTTATTATCCACACTTACACACACGCATATTTATATTAAAGTGACAATGTCTAAATCATTGAATAGGGGAGAATGTTTCTTACGAGGTAAGCTTGAGGTAACTGTAATGTGAACAATGATACCTTCTTCGAACATGTGCTTAGTAATGTGGGGGCTATAATGACGAAGAAAGTAGTGTGTCTAGGAAGAACTCCATGTGTTTCAGTAGAAAAGTAGAATAGCAGTAATAGTGAACAGTTAACTGTTATTGGGATTCTCTCCTCATCATCTAATCCATTTGTACACCGAATTCATCGCCTCCTTACGCCTCTTCTGCGTCGTACTTGAACCTCTCCACTGAGTTGGCGGCATGTTCCTCTTCGTGTTTTCCCAGTTCGTCCGCATCCATGCACGTGTAGTGGCAGCTGGGCCAGGTGCAGCGGTACATGACCGTCGTCTCCAGTTTGCGCTTCTTCTGCGGTCGCTTGACGCCCTTGTGCGAGTGAGTGACGTGCTTGTTCAGGTCGCCATTTCGCTTGAAGCCCTTGCCGCAGTTCTCGTAGGGGCAGAAGAAGTTGCGCACATCGGAGTGCGTCAACTTGTGCACATTGAGGGTGTTCATGTAGTAGGTGACGTACTTGCAGTTCGGAAAGTCACATCGGTACACGGGCTGCTCGTTGGAGTGGGTCAACACGTGGACATAGTACGCCTTTGGAGACTTGTACACGGCGTCGCAATTTTCATGACGACAGCGGAAGACGACGTTTTTGTGAATGTTCCGGTGGCGGTTGTGGTTGCCGCTGTCCTTGCTCAGCTTGCCACACACCTCGCACTTGTACTTTCCGCCGTGAACCGTGTTCTTGTGCTTGCCCAGAATGGAGCGAAAGTGCGTCGCAAAGTTGCAGTTTTCAAAGTCACAGCGGTAGGCGCGGATGGTGTACTGGTGGTGACGCTCCTTCAGGTGAGCGATCATCTCCTGAGCTGTGGAAAACTTGGTCTGACACAGTTCGCATTCATCGGTGATTGTTGTGTCCTCCATGAGAATCTCGTTGTCGAATTTCACTGTAACAAACAATTAGAGTCAATTAGTCAACGGGCTTTAGCAAGCACAACTTTGGAGACTTACTCGAAGTGACCAACTCAAGCTGCTGGTCCTGCTCGTTGCTGTTATTGAGAAGCATGATGATCTTATTGTTTGTGGATTTGCCATTTTCGTCCACCTCGATAATCTGCTCCGAGTTTGGATCCACTTCCATGTTGTCGCAGATCACTGTAGTCACATTGCTGTCGTTGACGCTCTTCAGGTAGATGATGTTCTCATTGGTTGTTATGCCACCGCTGCTCTCACCGGTGCCATCAAAGTTAGAAGTGCCTGGCGCACTCTCCAGTTCAACTGTTTCGCCATCGGCATATTCTCGCTTGATAGTGGCCTGCATTGAACTGCTCGCAAGGCCATGGTCAATACCTGAACAGAAAACAAAGCTGTTAAAGCCATCACATTCAAGAGAATCATCCATCGCTTACCTCGGTGAGAAATTTCAATGTGTCTTGACAGTTCTCGCTCTCGCGAATAGGTCCGTTTACAATTAGAATATGCGCATGTGTAGCGCCGACGGTTAGAGCCATGTTTCTGTTGATGGATCTGCAGATTTCTTCGTCGCTTGAATACTGAATCGCATCCCTCCACGGGGCACTTGTGCTTGTACACCAGCGACCGGTCTTTGTGAATTAGCGAGTGCGTGTAGAAGGATGGACGATCCTTGAAGACTCGGCCACAACCTTCAATGTCGCACTTAAACTGCTTCGTGATGGTCAGCCCGTGTTCAGTCTGCTTGTGGCGGTCCATTCGGCCAATGTAGATGTCTGTGTAGTCGCACAAGTGACACTTTAGCTTATCCTGTGCAAACGAGATAAACAACAACATTAGTAAGCAGTACTCAATAGAGAAAGCAGATAACACTAACCTTCTTTTTGATGTGCAGTTTGTAGTGCTGAACCAACATTGACTTTGACTCGAATCCTTCGTTGCACATCTCGCAAATTAGATTCACCTCAGGGTGAAAATTCTTTTCGTGCTGGAACATGGTGAGCAGCTCAAAAGGCAGATTGCATCCCTCATGGTTGCAGATCACCATTGGATTCTCAGAGTGCTCAAGAATGTGAGCTTCGAGTTTGAGACGACAGCGAGCTTTGTGGCCACAGGCTGGACACTCGGGCAGCTCAGCGGTCTTCTGTCCAGGTAGCTTACGAATAGATGGAGTGGTGACAACCTCGCCATTTACGATCTGAACCAGACCCCCTATAAATAAAGAGCGTTCGCAAAGTGTCAAGCTAGAGTAAACAAACCAAAACAAGCTTTTACTTACCCTCAGCAGTTGTGTCCAGCTCATTCTCGTAGTCATCGTCCATGGTCGTTTCGGCAAACTCAATCTGGTCATCCTCGGTAAAGACGAAATCGGTGTTGATTGGATCGCACAGTTCGTTGTACTTTGCTTCATCCTCACTGATGAACGTCACCAGGTCTGCTTCCAGATCATCGAGTACGTTCTTGTACTTGAAGTGCGGATCTTGCTCAAAGTACTCATCGTAAATCAGCTCGCAGACATTCTTGTACTTGTACATGATTTCGAAGCACTTGCCCATGTACTCCAGCTGGTCCTTGAGCTGCTTCACCTGTTCGTAATGCAGGTTGACAAACTCATCAATGGAGACGGGAATGCCCGCCTCGGCGTCGACGGGGGCGTCCTCGCCGTCAACGGGGCCATCCTCGGCGGCTGCATTGCCACTCCCCACCAGGTCGGCGATCTCAAGCGAGCTCCCGGTGATCTCCTGTTTGATGTTAATTAGGTCCGCCGATGACACTTGGTGCTCTACAGATGCCTCACCAGTGGCACTGTTGTCCGGCATCGTTTGTGTAGTAAAAAAGCGCTTTAGGTCGAGACAATGTTGGATTAGAATAGCAGAAGTGTGTGGAAACGCTGGAAAATAGCTGAATCCAACAAAATAGTGCAGCTGCTGAAAATCAGAGGAGCGAGCGAGCTCAAGCGTGCTCGGGCAACCGTCGTCATTTCTGGCGTAGAGAACGCCAGAGGACCGTTCGTAGAGGACGTTGCCGTTTTAGTTTTTTTTTTGTTTTCAGACCATTTTCTTTTCTCTTCTTTAGTATTTTTTGTTCCAAAGCTAAAAAGTGTTTCCAACTTTTTGTCGACAAGTATGTGTGGGCGTGTCTTTTAATGGTATGAAGTAGAAACGGTAAAAACTAGAGAAGATGTGATGATGAAATGCAAAATGATTGCCCGCCAAAGGACACCACCCAACGTCGGAAGAGGGCAGCAGCGCAGCAGTGTTTGTGTTTGAAAAGATTTACCGATTTTTTCAGTTGCACTCCAGCCATCAACAGAGGACTGAAGGCAAAGATGAGACCTAAAGCGAAGCGACTGATCAACGGCGGTGGCCATGGAAGAGCCTCCAAGGGCGCCAACACTTCGGCCTGTAATGTCGAGAAAGACTTTGAAGAGGACTTTCACGAAGATGTAGGCCATCAGAGTAAGTGTGCTGTCCCATCTGACCAGCTGTCAGTGGTTTGGCGGGAAAACTGCCTTTCTTTTTCATCAGTTATCTCCTAACTAACAGTTATCCACTTTTAGTCATTGATGACATTTACATGCCACCACCTCCCAAGCATCCAAACCTGACCGGCAACCAGTTAGGAGAACGACTGATCATTGTCGATATTGAAATTACCAACTTCAAATCGTATGGCGGGACGGTGGTTCTGGGACCTTTCCACAAGGTACGACTGTCCAATCGCTAAGAGCCATCTGATTTATCTAATCTTTATTATTTTACAGGCTTTCAATTCAATCGTCGGTCCCAATGGCAGTGGCAAGTCGAATGTCATCGACTCGATGTTGTTTGTTTTCGGATACAGAGCTTCAAAGATCCGCTCCGCCAAAATCTCCAACATTATTCACTACTCTGACACAATGCCAAACTGCACCTATGCCAAGGTGCAGGTTAACTTTGCCATGCTCAACGACAAGGTAAGATGCTGTTAATCAAGCTGCTGAAATGACTAATGACATGTTTTGCTTTGTAGGGCGGCCTTGACCACGAAATCATTCCCAACTCCAATTTCTCCATCTCTCGAGTTGTCGAGAAGAACAACAATTCCTACTATATGATCGACGGTTCTCGTGTCGGCTTCCGCGATGTCTCAAAGAAACTGGAAGAGTTTGCCATTGACTTGCGCTACAACCGTTTTCTCATTCTCCAAGGCGAAGTGGAGCAAATTTCACTCATGAAACCAAAGGGCGAAAATGAAGGCGACACGGGCATGTTGGAGTTTCTCGAGGACATCATTGGCACCAGTCGCTACAAACTGCCAATCAAGCAGCTGAATGACAAGTACTACGCTTTGAATGAGGAGCGCACAGTGTACGTGAATCGTGTCAACCTCTGTCAGAAGGAGCTCAAAACCGTTTCTGAACTAAAAGACGAAGCGGTGAAGGCGCTTGAGATGCAGAACAAAATTTTCATTGAAAAGTCCAAAATATACCAGCTCCACATTCACGAGGAGTCTTGCCTACTGGAGGCTGATGAGGCCGAGTTTGCCCAGGAGCAGGCAAAGTTGGACTGCCTCGACGAACGTCTTAAAGAGGCTAATAAGCAGTGTGAAGAACTCGAGGCCCAGGAGAAGGAAAAGGCAGGCGAGTGGTTAAAGATGAAGGAAGATCGGGATAAGCTGAAGGCGACGTGGGAGGAATGCAATCAGAAGGACTACTACCTCCATAAAAAGGGAAAGGCCACCAAGAAGGACATAAAAAAGTTGTCCACGCAGATTGAAGCGGACGAGGCCAAGCTGGAGGAGTTGAAAAGGGCGGCGGAGGAGAACAACGATGACACGGAGACGAATCGTCTGGAGGCGGAACGCGCCAAGCTGGAGAAGGAACAGGAGAAGATCGACGAGCAGCTGAAAGAGGGGACGCAGGCGGCGCAGGAGGAGTGCGCCGACCTCATCACCGAACGCGATGCCCTCGACGGGAAGCTGACGCAGTTCAAGGAGGAGACGAGTGGAAAGAAGAAGGCCCGAGACGAGGCGGAGAACAATCTGATGGTGCTCACCGTCCAGCGCGACAAGGCGAAGACCAAGGTGACCGGACTGGAGACGAAGCTGAAGCACCTGAACGACGAGACGGAGGAAAAGCGGGCCAAGGTGGCCAGGTTTGAGGAGGAGCTGCCCAGGCAGAGGGCACGTATTGCGGAGAAGACGGCGGTCGTCGGCGAGCTGGAGCGCGAGCACCAGCAGCTGGAGACGCAGCTGAGGACGAAGCGCGGCGAGCTGCAGACGCTGGTCAGCGAGAAGGACAGCGCAGTGTCGGGCGACAAGGTGCACAAGGCGCTGATGGAGGAGATGCGACAGGGCCGCCTGCAGGGCATCTTCGGCAAGCTGGGCGCTCTGGGCGCCATTGACGAGAAGTACGACGTAGCGGCGTCCACCGCCTCCGGCCGCCTGCGCAACTACGTGGTTGACACGAGCGAGAACGCCAAGGCGGCGAATCGTTTCCTGAAGGAGTTCAACCGAAACCGCACCAACGCCGGCTCTGTCACCTTCATCATTCTCGATNCATTGCGGAGAAGACGGCGGTCGTCGGCGAGCTGGAGCGCGAGCACCAGCAGCTGGAGACGCAGCTGAGGACGAAGCGCGGCGAGCTGCAGACGCTGGTCAGCGAGAAGGACAGCGCAGTGTCGGGCGACAAGGTGCACAAGGCGCTGATGGAGGAGATGCGACAGGGCCGCCTGCAGGGCATCTTCGGCAAGCTGGGCGCTCTGGGCGCCATTGACGAGAAGTACGACGTAGCGGCGTCCACCGCCTCCGGCCGCCTGCGCAACTACGTGGTGGACACGAGCGAGAACGCCAAGGCGGCGAATCGTTTCCTGAAGGAGTTCAACCGAAACCGCGCCAACGCCGGCTCTGTCACCTTCATCATTCTCGACAAGCTGGGCGACTGGACGCGAAACTACCGCAGCACGCGCCAGTACCCGGAGGGAGTGCCGCGCATCTTCGACCTGATTCGCGTCAACGACCAGCGCTTCCTGCCCGCCTTCTACTTTGCCTTCCGCGACACGCTGGTGGCGGACGACCTGGAGCAGGCCTCTCGAATTGGCCACAGTGCCGAACGGCATCGGGTGATCTCACTGAAGGGCGAACTCATTGAAACCGACGGATCAATCTCCGGCGGTGGGCGGCCGTGCTCCGGTGCGATCGGCACCACCGTTCAGCAGGAGACGGCCTTCGACCAGCAGCGCATCAATGACCTGGAGGCGGAGATGGAGGAGCTCAGTCAGCTGAAGGGCCAACTGGAGCCGAAGATCGACACTGCCCGACGAGAGCTGAACCAGCTGAAGAATGACCTGAAGGTGATTGAGGACAACTTTGCCATTCTCAATCAGGACATTCAGCAGAATGTGAGTCGAATCGAGCAGACGGCGGAGAACCTGCGCAATGCCAAGGCGGAGATGGAGCGCTTCGAGAACAGCCCGGAGATTGAACGGGCGGAGGCAGTCTACCAGGAGAAGAGGGAAATCTATGAGCGGGAAGAGGCGAAGATGGCCACGGAGAAGGAGAAGCTGGACGAGCTGAATGAGGAGATCAACACCAAGCTAATCACACAGCTTGAGCCCTTTAAGAAGCAGAAGAAGGCGCTGGAGAAAAAGATGAAGGAGCTGGTCGCCAAAATCAACTCAATTGCCTCGGATCGGAAGAACTGCGAGTTGCAGTTGAAGAAGCTGGAGGATGACCTGGAGACGAGCCGGGCGACCATTGCCCAGCAGAAAGAGGAGCTAGAGAAGATTGAGGAGGAAAAGACGAAGGTCACCGAAGCGGGTGTCGAGGCGAACAACCTCTACGAGCAGGCGATGAAGGACGTCGAGGAGTTGGGAAAGACGCTTGAGCAGATGCGGAAAAAGGCCAAACACCTGGAGGAGGCGATGAAGAAGGCGAACAGTGAAATGGTCGATGTCGGACATGAACTTGATAAGAAGCAGAAGGTGCTTGATGAGAAGCGGAAGAAGAAAAATGAGTACTGTGCACGACTGGCGGATATTGTGCTCAATCAAATTGATCTCGATTCAGACGATGAAAATGAAGAGGATGACGAAGAGGAGGATGAGGAGGATGAGGGCGAAGATGGCGAGGGAACGGAAAAGGCCATTGCGGCAAATGGAGAAGCAACGCCAACGGAAAATGGAGTCGACGGAGAGCAGCAGCAGCAGTCGAATGGCGATGCTATGGACGTGGACCAGGAGATCGGCGCTGCCAATGGTGACATTGCCGATTCGGACGCTCAAACCGATCAAGTGAACCCTGCTGATTCCTCAAACGATAAGGAGAATGGAGGTAAACAGAAGGGGAAAAAGAAGACCAGAAAGGAGAGGCCACTGGCGGTCATTCCAAAGCTGAGTGCAGAGGAGCTAGATGAACTGAACGTCGACTCGGTCCGCGCAAAGATCAAGCGACTGGAGAGCGAGTTTAGTAAGCTCAATCCAAACTACGCCGCCATTGAGGACTACAAACGCGCCAGAGAGGACTTCAGGGCAAAGTCGACTGACCTAGAGAATGCCACCAGCCGCCGTGACCTCTACATGGAGCACATGAAGCAGACGAAGGAGATGCGCCTGAAGGAGTTCAAAACGGGCTACCACTCGATTGCCCACAAGCTGAAGGAGCTCTACCGGACGATCACGCTGGGCGGCGACGCCGACCTGGAATTTGTAGACTCGCTGGACCCCTTCTCCGAGGGCATCAACTTTGCCGTGCGCCCCAACAAGAAGAGCTGGAAGAACAACATCAATTTGAGTGGTGGCGAGAAAACGCTCTCCTCGCTGGCGCTCATCTTTGCCCTGCACTACTACAAGCCCTCGCCGCTCTACATCATGGATGAGATCGACGCGGCGCTCGACTTTAAGAACGTCTCCATCATTGCCAATTACATTAAGCAGCGCACGCGGAACACCCAGTTTCTCATCATCTCACTGCGCAGCAACATGTACGAACAGGCGGAGATGCTCATCGGCGTCTACAAGACCTTCAGCGTCAGCAAGACGCTCGCCCTCGACCCGGGCGCCTATGAGCACCGGCAGAAGTACCACGGCACGCAGTCCACCTTCTCCTCGCAGCCCACGTACTCCTCACAGCCGCCCACCGGCAGCTCGCAGCAGCAGCAGTCGCAGCAATCTCAGCAGTCTGTCAACAACTCCTCAAAGACTGAGAAAAAGCCGCCGCCGCCGCCACCTTCAGCTACACTGTCCTCCTCTCAGGCAAGCTCTGTCGACCCACAGCCGCCGCCTAAAGATGCGCCATTTTCGCCGCCTGCGAGGGCACCTCCAATCGCCAAGGAAGTGCCGGCCTCGCAGCCATCACTACCACAACCATCACCACCACCATTATCACCCCCATCACCGCCATCGCCACCTTTACGCCAGGATCCAGAATCTTCGTACAACTCTGAGGAAGATGGTGATCTGATGGATCTCACTTAGTCTTCCACTCTATTTAAAGCACACACCGTCATAATTGCAGACATTTGGGTTTTTTAATTACCAATAAATTACATTGGCACTTGTAAGCTAATCTTTTGATAATCTGTTTGCGATGTTGTGGTAGTTCGCCAGGCATTATTTTCCTTTCAGCAGCTCAGAAAGTTTTCCACTTTCATGCAGTTCAACTAGAAAATATATAAATCATATTATCATATTAGTAGGCAGTATATGATTACAACGATGACTTTACTTACCCGTCTTATCGCCACCGCCGATGAATTTGCCGTTAATGAAGAGGCGAGGCACGCAGGGAGCTCCGGTCAGATCACGCAAATAATACTGAATGTCTCTCATTCTCGGGTCATTGTTCAGCTCCCAAATTTCGTACTCATCACTGGAAAGGTTGTGGTGCGCTAGGGCGTTCTTTGCCTTGGTGGAGAAGGGATCCCACGACTTAGAGAAGAGCAGAACCTTCTTTGTGCGAATTTTATCATCAACTTCCTTTTTTATTTCCGACACCGGTGCGTCAACTCGGCCAAAGCCTGACTGTTTGGGTGTTGTCATTTCCAAGTACTCTTCAGTTGGGACGAAAACTGAGATTCATTCAAATCAAAACACAACGCTTTTCTGTCAGTTTGAAAAGTACTCGCTTCGAGAGCGACAGTGGCGACGCCGTTGCGGAAACAACGGAGAACTTCAGCACTGTTACGCAACAGCAACCCACAACAAGTCGTCAACAACTACGCAGCACACTGTCCGTCAGATGACTCAACTGAGCAATTAGGTGACCAAGTAAATTACCCGATTACCTAACTGTGTCGCAAGTTGGCACAATTTACGCACTAACTTATCTCTCTGACTGACTCACTTATATTGTGATGCACTATAATCCTGTGCTAATGCTATAAAACTGTGTGTTTTTCCTGTCCATTTGTTAATTGTGCTTTTAATCATTTCAGAGCTGTCATCACAAAACTTTACTGATTTTGAAAAGACATGGCTGCTGCAGGAGCTGCTGCCGGGGCTGCAGGGGCTGCAGCAGCGGCGGCACAGGCTGAAGCCTACTGGATGCTCTTTAAACACCAAATTCGCCTGTCAACAGGTTTGCTGAAGAGGCAGTATCAAAGGGGGACAAACCTAATCCTGGCTCCAAATGCACTCGTTTCCTCACTGTCCACTCTGATTCCTAAAAAAGAGACTGACATTCGGGTTGACTTGGTGAAGATGCTTCTGTGCACAAAGTGCAACGGTAGACTGGAAGCAAACGATATAGTGACCTACTACTGTTATGCCAACAAGCATAACGGAAAAAGAAAGGGTGCCTGTCTGCACATCAACAGTTTTATCTACTCACATCCAAGGTAAGTGGAGTTTAAGATGAGGAAAGCAACATCTAATTCAGTTTAATTCACTTTATTTCAGTCGTCCACTAAAGCCAAAGTTGGTAACAAAGTTGTGGAAAAAGTATCGAGCGACTGTCAAAGAGCTGGAGTTTGGTGGGGAAAAGCCCAACCTGGAGGCGCTGGCTACCATCAACGCCGATGCTCAACTGTCTGCCACCTGCTCTCCGATGATGTCCACTGCTGACTACGTCAGGCTGATTCCACCGTCCACCGTGCGCACAGTTCTCTCCAGTGCACTTCTGTTTAATGGCATGTGGTCAAAGAGCTTTGAGGTTCAGTACGGAGAGTTCCACCGAAGCGATGGAACTTCGGTGAAAACGCCCTTGCTAATGAAGAAAAAGTCGTACCAGTACTACTACGATGCGCCAACCATGGCAAAGGTTCTTCAGATTCACGCCACGCCAGAGAGTAAACTTCAGCTGATGCTTATTCTGCCTGATGAGAACATCAGTGTGGACCACTACATTCATCACATGCTCAATTATGATAATCTGAAGCAAATCTTTAAGAAACTCAACTCTAGATCTACCCGTGCTGATGTTCAGTTGGTTTTTCCAAAGTTTAATATGACATCGAGCACTCAGATTGGAAAACCGACGCAAACCTTGGCTTTAAAAGAGATACTAGAACTGAACAAAGCTAAACCAGGAAAATCTTTGAAGGTAGTGCCACCAGTAGATGACCACATTGTGCTTCTGCAGAAGGTGACCATCAATATCCAAGAGCGAGGAGCAGATAAGACAAAGTCCAAACCTGGGGGCTTCTTTTCTCACCGGGCTCAGGAGGACTTTATCGCAAACAGACCGTTCATATTCGCACTTTATCCTCGTGATGACGAAAAGCTGATTCTAATGATTGGTGTTTGTGAAGATCCTACCAAAAACTAAACCATGGCAATAGTTGACGTTTTGTGTAAAGCTGATCTTCTATACATGAAAATCTGCAATGTGCTACATGCACTCTAAACAAATGCTGTACAGTGAGCAAAAATGGTACTTTATTCGGATAAAAATAATCAAAAAGTTATGTTTTGATTGCATCTGAACCGAATCTGCCCCTACAAGCTGTTCACGAAGGACTGAGTGTGGACACGATAGATGCAACTTGATGCGAAGTAGTAGAACCTGGTGCCCTCGATCCGGAGCCAAAAATGGAGGTTTTCGAAGAGGGACGGAGTTTTTTAACAGCAGCAGCAGCAGCAGCAGCAGTGGCTTTCGTGTGTCTAGGCGACACTGGCCTCTTCACTGCTCGTCTTCTAGCCATTTTCCACTTTGGCCTTTTTTGGCGCTCTTTTTTGGCGCTGGTTTTGCGGCTGCCCCGTCTACAGAACAGCTGCACGCCGCAGAAGACAATCACCAGCACTGTCGCGCTTATGATGACAGTCAACAGAGAGTACAGTGAGAGCTGAAGCTGTGGCTGCAAACTGGGGTCAATGGCACTGCCCCTCCCACCACAGCTGCATCGATTGCTCCGGCTGTGCNGTCTACAGAACAGCTGCACGCCGCAGAAGACAATCACCAGCACTGTCGCGCTTATGATGACAGTCAACAGAGAGTACAGTGAGAGCTGAAGCTGTGGCTGCAAACTGGGGTCAACGGCACTGCCCCTCCCACCACAGCTGCATCGATTGCTCCGGCTGTGTGGGGGCGCAGAATTGGAGCACCTGAAGAAGCTCTCATAGGTGGCACAGTGCACCGGCAGGAGAATGTCCATCTGCGCGTCGGCCGACCGCTCCAGCAGGTCCATTCTGCCCCAGTTCTGAACGGTGTAGACGCAGCCCCGGTCATCGTCGAAGAGGTAGAGCACACCGGTGGCGTAGTTGACGGTGCCCTGCGGCCGACTGCTGAACATGGGCTCCTCCTTGGGGGTGCCCTTGAGGACGTGCACCAGTCGGAGGTGGCCAGTGGCAGGGGCCAGCAGTGGGAAGTAGGAACGCGTGTTGCGGATGTTGAACGCTTTCGCCTTTTCCACGGCAATGTACAGATTGTGGATATCCACATCAAGTCGCATTGGCGCCAGGAGGTAGTGCTCAGAGAGGGGATCCTTGGCTAAGTTGAAGAGAATCAATGGATGAACCTTTAGTAAAAGCCTTTTTTTGAAACATGGCCAACCACACACTTACTGGCAACAGTGATGACATCCTTCTCGAGTTGTCCGTGAAAGGCAGAGCAGACGGGAAAATTTTGGTATGGGTACATTGTACGGCCGTTGATTTGCCGTATCATGTACTTTGTGTTGTAGAGAAAGACGTAGCGACCTGCGTTCCTTTGGTGCTCTTTGATGTTTATCTCGTAGTAGCCTACAATGGGCAAATTTTCTTCGTCTGGCTCGCCTAACTGCAACAGTTCATCGTGAAGGGTTTTGTTAAGGTGAAAAAGTCGCTCTCCTGAGCCGTCCTTCTTCTTCTCCTCCTCCTCTTTTCTTGCAGTTTTTCGTATGATCATGCTGTCAACGTTTATGTCCCACGGTGCAATTCGGTAGCCGCGTTTGCCACCAAAGATCATCAACAGATTGGCAGTCTCCAAGGAGTTCATGGTTCCGTCGCTCTCCCAAGTAAGTGAAGTTAGCTGACCACTGAAAGTGCCATTCTTGTAGACTTGAGTGCACACCTCAGAGGCAATGGTTTCCTCTTCGCTGCTAATAACCAAGGTAAGCAAGTCAATGAGGAGGAAAACAGTGAAGAGTCGATGCATTCTCTGCGTGAGCGTAAAAGTAAACTGAACTGAGTAAACGCTGACACTGGAAAGTTTTCTCTTTATTAATCTCATTTGCTAACAATGTAGAATGTCAATGTTCTATCTTACTTCTCTAAAAAATAATGTTTTTCTAACTTAACCCGCTACAGTTAATTTTTAGATCAGGCCATTTTTTAAAGATTTTTTAAGTTAAAAAGCTAAAACACTCTACGCACTATTAGGTTGTCTAAAATTCTCAAAAATAAAAAATTTTTTAGAGAAAAGGTTGGTAAAATGAAGAGCGCGCTGAGAGATTTACAAGAATACGTAGCTTAGAAGGGAATAGCTGCAAAAAAATTTCGAAGTTGGTGTGAGCAAAGCCACGTACCCTGCCACTTTCCATTTTACCATAAAAGCAGTCGTCTACACACCACATTGTTTGTTCACAAGTAACACCTAACTTTCTATTTTTTAAAATGAGCCAGCAAATTGAAAAAAGTCACAGCGATCGCAGCAAGAAAACGGGAAAAAGCAGTGTGTCTCACAAGGCAGAAAGTGCTTCTGGTACGAGCAAAACCAGCCACCAGTCGGGTGCCTCTATGACGAAAAGCAAAGGTGCCACTGATCACATCAACCGAGCCATTGTTCATCATGGAGGACCACCATCAACGGCGGCGTCTTCCAGCAAGTCATCTTCCCTTGGACAACGTCAGCGTTCCAAGGGAAAAAGTGTCTCAGCGCCGACAACCATCAGCAACATAGCCGGGCTGACGTGGTCAGAGAAGACACGTCGCAGCACTTTAGGGCCGATTCACATTGATAACCTCTCCAAGTTGCACTTTCTGCAGAAGAGCGTCATGCACAGTCGTATGACGCCTGCTGTCAAGGATAGCAAAAGCGGCAAAAGCAGCAGCCAATCCTCTCGGTCGACTGCTCGCGCTCGTGTCGACCCTCGAACGATGAAGCGCAATGACAATCTTCCCCTGGAGGCCTCTGCGGCGTTCGTCATCGACCAGAAGGAGGCGAGCCCAANTAACCTCTCCAAGTTGCACTTTCTGCAGAAGAGCGTCATGCACAGTCGTATGACGCCTGCTGTCAAGGATAGCAAAAGCGGCAAAAGCGGCAGCCAATCCTCTCGGTCGACTGCTCGCGCTCGTGTCGACCCTCGAGCGATGAAGCGCAATGACAATCTTCCTCTGGAGGCCTCTGCGGCGTTCGTCATCGACCAGAAGGAGGCGAGCCCAGCAGTGGCCAGTGGAGTGCGCAGTGGCAAGTTTGACGATGCCCTCCGCCCGGCGACCATCTACAAGGGCGACGTTCGCTTGGAGTTTCAGGCAAAGGTGATGCGCAGCCTCTCTGGTGGCATCTACGATCCACTCAAGTTTCTCTATCCAGTGCCGGCCAGTGAGAAGGAGAAGAACTACCTCGAACGGCACGTCGACCCCTTCAAGCTGATTGACTTTATGGTGAAACACATGAAGCTGTATTACGATTTAGAAGCGGACCCGGACGCCTTTAGTGGTCGTCGCCAGGAGCTGGATAACTACCTCTGGGATAATCTAGCGTTCATCATACCTATGCTTTGCCGTCAAGTTATTGATGTTTTCCTTACTGAAGTAAGTTTGCTTTTCTGTAGTTTACCTCGTTTCGAACTTATCGTTTTGGTATTTACCTCTAGCCAATGATTCTGATCGACATTGAGCCGGATGTCATCATCTTTGGTGACATTCACGGCAACTTCAACGACATTCATTACATCTACATCAACTTCATTTCCAAGCCTGAATATGCCCACACTAAGTTTCTCTTCCTTGGCGATTACGTTGACAGAGGCCCCAAACCGGTGGATATTTTGTGTTTTCTCTTTGCACTGAAGCTCTCTGATCCAAAACGTTTTTATCTGCTAAGAGGAAACCACGGTGAGTACGAGTAATGCAATGATCACATTTCCCAAATTTAATGTCTAAACAACTCACATGCGCGCAGAGGTATTGCAAATCAATCGCAAGTACGGTTTTCAGCACATGTGCTGTCACCTCTTTCTGGACACCTACATTTACAAGCCTACGCTTGCTGAGCTGAACTACAAGTCCTTCAATCGTGCCTTCTGCTTCATGCCCGTGGGGGCCGTTATCAAAGGCTCAGCCTCTAGCTCAGGCTCCGGAACGTCTTCGGGTGGCAGTGTCAAGCGAATCTTCTGCTGCCACGGCGGCGTTCCCTCTTACCACAAAGACGATGAAGTGGGCAGCAAAAGCGTCAGTAAAAGTGGAAGCAACAGAGGAGGGGGAGGCAGTCGCAGCGGCAAGTGTAGCAAAAACCGCGAGGAAATGAGCGTCGGATGGCAAATTTCTAATTTGAATGCATGTCTGAAGAAACCGGTTTCGCTGGCGCCCAGTCGGCACTGTCCTCCGGCAGAGCGTGCTTTCAATGAAATTCTGTGGAATGATCCGATTCCGTCTGGCCTCCGCAACTCTGCCAAGTACCCAAATAAGTACTACGTCAACAGGAAACGTGGCGGCCACTGTTCTTTCTTCACTGAAGCCGGTTTGAAGGCGTTCCTCGAGACGAACAACCTGTCGATGGTGGTTCGGGGGCATCAATTCAAAACCACCAGTGACCACGGTTACTACTCCGAATTTGACGGCGCCCTTCTCACCGTTTTCAGCAGCAGCAACTACTGCGGCACTCAGGAGAATGCCACCGGGTACGTGCACGTCACCGGGTCACAGTGTCAGGTGAAACCGTACACGCTGCGCACGGCCAAAGAGGCAGAGAAGTACCGAGACTTTAACATTCTCAAGATTATCATTGATGAGCGCACCAAGGAGGTAACACACGTCGCATTCTAAGTAAGTAACAGTTGATGGTGAATGATGAACACATTCTCATTTGTCTCAATTAAACTTTTTCAAATACTCATCTGAGAACTAGAAAATTTGTTTTCATCTTTAACTGGAGTTTCTTCCTTATAAGTGACAATAAAAGTTCTAATCTGGATTCAACTGGACAGTGCCATTGACAATCGGTTGTAAGTGATAGTTTCGTTTTTCACTTNTGAACACATTCTCATTTGTCTCAATTAAACTTTTTCAAATACTCATCTGAGAACTAGAAAATTTGTTTTCATCTTTAACTGGAGTTTCTTCNTGAACACATTCTCATTTGTCTCAATTAAACTTTTTCAAATACTCATCTGATTACTGGAAAATTTGTTTTCATCTTTAACTGGAGTTTCTTCCTTATATATGACAATAAAAGTTCTAATCTGGATTCAACTGGACAGTGCCATTGACAATCGGTTGTAAGTGATAGTTTCGTTTTTCACTCNTCATCTGAGAACTAGAAAATTTGTTTTCATCTTTAACTGGAGTTTCTTCCTTATAAGTGACAATAAAAGTTCTAATCTGGATTCAACTGGACAGTGCCTTTGACAATCGGTTGTAAGTGATAGTTTCGTTTTTCACTTTTATACTTAAAATGAAGTTTCCTTTTCCGAGCCTCAATGCTCTGGTTTACCTTTTTACTAGTAGCCTACAAGAAGTTGCTCTTCATGAGCAGCCACATGCTGACACGTGTTGGCATATCGAGAGCAACACAAACAATTCAAAATGCACAGTGTGCAAAAAAACTGAAAACAACTCTGCATGCATTCAAACAATGACAGAGTATTTCNTACCTTTTTACTAGTAGCCTACAAGAAGTTGCTCTTCATGAGCAGCCACATGCTGACACGTGTTGGCATATCGAGAGCAACACAAACAATTCAAAATGCACAGTGTGCAAAAAAACTGAAAACAACTCTGCATGCATTCAAACAATGACAGAGTATTTCATTTTATTTGATTGTATATTTAGACACAATTGCTGATGATGATGCTCCTTTCTCTCTCTTTGTGATTGTTTTTGTTCAAGTGAGGCTGTGTGTGTTGTTTCCAGCGATATGATGTTTGCTCGTTCAAACTGACAAACAGCCGTACTGCAGTTGTTGCTTTATTTTTATTTAACCATTCATTCAAACCCGCCATAGCAAATATTTATATCCTTTAGTTTTATCTAATTGTTTACTAAAGATTAACTAATTTCAACTGGCTAAAAGAAAAAGAGAAAAACGCTTGAGAGAGCTTAGAGATACAGGTTGAAAAAATTGTAGATGATAGTTGTCAAGGTTTAGTAAATAGAATAGTAATGAGGAAAGCTGAACTGAAAGCTAACTGTCGCCAATGTTTTCTTCTGCCAGCAAAAAGCCGTCTACATTCGTCAGGCCGCATTCCTTTGACCACTGCAGACCTTCAAGTGGTTTCAGAGTGTTCACAAAGTTGCTGAACTTGCAGTCAAATTCATTGCCGAGGCACTTGTCCAGGCGAAGCTGTTCAATGGTGTACGGCTCTTTGACGGTCTGTGAGATGTAGTACGAGCGAATGATGGGATCTCCGGTGCCCAGTGGGTCTCGGTGCACTTCAAAGATGACTGTCGCGGCAAATGGCGGGTACTTGTACAGCTTCTCACCCAGGCCAAGCAGCAGGGAGGCTATTTTGTAGTCGTGCTGGAGTAAAAACAGAATAAGTGAGGGTTTTTAATTTAAGTTCAAATTGTGGTAACTTACCGTGGTGTACAAGTACGCACGCTTGATGGACTCTTTGTCTTTCTCATCAGTATTCTTGATGGCCGTAATAGAGTCAATCACCTCTTGAATGATCGGACCGCTACGGAATCGGCGAGCTTTCTCCGTTGCATAGAGAAAGTTCAGGTTCTTCGTGTAGACGTTGCCCATGCGCTCGTAAACGTTATTCACTGAAGCCCACTTGGGAACCTTGAAACCGTTAATTTTGTCACAACGCACGCAATCGAAGGCCTTTGTGACGCCGCTCATGGTGGGCGGCAGACCGGTGTTCTCGGCGACGTACGCATACAAATCCTGAAATAGTTAAATCATTAAACTATGAAATGCAAGTTTCCATTCACAAACCTTGATGTCAGTTTGATTTTCATAGGCTGACACTGCAGCACTGTTGATGTTGTTGCTCTCCTCAGTTTCTGTAGTGCAAAAAATGTAAATGTACTTTAATATGCTTCACTATTGACTCACCTGCGAGCGGACACTTTGGCTCTTCGTACAGCAACGAATCGACCTTCTTCGGCAGCGAGTAGATGACTGGCGTGTGTGCGTTGTCAAAGTTTGGCCACAGTCTACTGGAGACGAGCTTCAGCGTGTCAATGCACCGCTGGGCGGCAGAGGCCCGCTGGTAAATCTGACTTCGCTTCAGTCCTCGGGTGAAGGTGCCGTAGCGTTTGTTCAACAGGTTGCCGATGTTGGTCACCTGCTTGATGCCGAAGCTGGTCAGTTGAGAGCGGCCATTCGGCCACCGATTGGTCTGGTTGATGTGCGGGTCTTTCGGATAGGTGGTCCAGGGCGCCCTCACGCCGTGTCGCATAAAGATGAAGACCGCCTCGAGGCTGTCGGTGTTGATGCTCTCGTAGGCGCCGCCGCTGCACCCGCCGCCGGCGACACCGGTTGCGGCACCGGCGATCAGCGTCTCCTGACCCTGGGCAACATTGAAGGTGGTGGCTACCAGCAGCAGCAGTACTACGACCACTACCTGATGGAACATTGTGCGGTTGATTCACTAGCGAGTCTGCACTGAAAAGACAACTACAGCAACCGTACTACAGCACTGCAGCTCAACGTCCAGCAAAATACTGTCACTAGTTGCTTATAGTTCCGCTGTTTATATACCAGCCGTACGGTTTCCAGTGGATAAACGGAGGAGGGGTGGCGGCGCAGGTAATGAGGCTAACCTTGACGTAATTAGCTGAAGCAAGCTTTTTTATTAATTAAGCCAGTTGATGTTGCATGGTAGGCAATGGAGAGATACGGGGGAGGGCAATGGTGCACACACTCAGTTTCTGTGAGAAGAGCAGCAGTATTCTGCACCAACAGGACAGTGTGTAATTTATTATGTTATCACACACATGTACACTTCCACTTCGCTGCGACCATTCATTGTGTGATACCCACCGGACTAGACAACAGGTGAAAGTGGCCTCTTGCTGTCTGTTGTTGCTGTTGTTGCTGCCACTGAATCCCCATTGTCACCTGTCATCTTGCCTTGGCATTGAGATCTCAACTCTCGAGGGCTTATCTGGCAGCCGTCTTTCCATCTTTCAGCCTCAGTTGCCAAGCGCACTCTCTATTTCTGCTGCTGTTGTTGTCGTAGTCGGAAGACAAAGATGATAGCGCCTGCAGTAATTTGCATTCGAAACAATCGGGCAATCATTCTTGTTGCTCTTTTCCTGGACATTGGACTGTCTCGAGCTGTACTATTTAACAAAATCTTCTTCTTCTTTTTCATTTTCATCTTCTCCTGACTAATTGTACTCTCAATTGCCGACGATTAGCCGTTCTGCTCTCACAGACAATGCGCGATTAGCCACACAACTGCAAACACCAACAAGTGCACTCACCCCTCTGTGAACATCGATTTTGTGAGACGCAGAGAGCAGGGGCAGATTACCATCACCTTCTACCACTCTTCTCATAATTTATGCACCATTACCCAAATGACGAAGACTGCGCAGGTTTCGCTTCGACAAACAATGCAAATTTTGTTTGGTTTTTCTTAGTAAGTTGGCTTTGTAAGAAAATACACTTTTGATTTCTTTTCTTAAGGTACTTTTGCTGAAAACTGCTTTTCTTGAATTTTTGAAAAGCTGTTTTGAATGAACGAAAAAGACCTTTCTTATCTTAATTTGAAGCTAAACTAACAGATGGCAGTGCAAGGTTGAAGTTCAAACTTTTTATTTTTTAATTTTCATTCGAGTGAACTTCTCTGGGTGTCTTTTGTTTCTCTCTTTCTCTGCTTGCAAAGGTTACTTCAAAACAAGTTCATTGTAAGATAAAAATCGGTTAAAATGCTTTCCATCATTTGCAGTGTGAAAAAAGGAGAAGGAGAGAAAGAAAGTAGAAAATAAAATGCTGCAGCAGTAAAGACAAAGAAAAGGTCAACAATTTAAGGAGATTAAAAGATTTTTCTAATGCAACTACTGAAACTAACATGTAACATGACAACTATTTTTTCTATAGTTGGTATCACTGCATCATGTTTTTATCAAACAATGAACCTGATTTTTTTGTTGGTATATTTTTTAACCTTGATCATAACTTTACTAAGTTATCTCTAATTTCATATCCCTAAACTAATAAATTACCCATTGAACTCTTTGACCTACACGTTGATCTACTAACAGAGTATTTTGTTTTTTGTTTTCTATAGCAAGTATCAGAAGAACACGGCTCGGCTACCAGGAAAAAGTGGCAAGTTTGCAAACACTGATAATAGGCACTGATATTAGTAATTATATTATATGATACTGCTGGCCAATTTTTTATCACCACCCTAATGTGTGCCATTGTCAACTAGTTCAATCAGTTTGTCGTCAGTGCAAAATCGGCAGACCGACTTGTGAAGAAAAAAGTGAGATCAGCTTAGACAGACAAAGAAGTTCAGAGTTTCAATGTAGATCGCAAACTTGCAAGTGAAAGCGCTATCAAAATGCTATTGAGTGCACACCCATGAAAGAAAAGTGCATTTTTTAGAAACGATGTTTTAGAAGCAATTGCTACCACTACTACACTGGCCGGCAAACGTCGGCAATTGTGTTAGCATGTGAAAACGGACTGCATTTTGTTTTCGTGGGCGCCGACATGTGACGAAAGTGGAGAGTTCTGCGAAAAGGAAGAAGCTAGAGGAGCTGTTGTTGCATTGCACAATAGTTGCAAACAAAACATTTCACTGACGGCCTATACCTGAGATTATCAAACGGTGGAGATGAGATCTGACCGACCGGCTAATTTAGATGTTCGCCAGTGAGCGTAGCAGTGATTGCCCCTTGCTTGCACAGTTTGTTTCACTTTTGCTATTTCCAGTGGTGCCAGCGTTTTTTCCACCAAATGCACCGATTATGCACGCATATAATGTAGCAGCAGCACTTGCCGGTCTAGAAAATGGCGCTTGCCCCGCCTGCCTCTTCGAGAGTGTTGATTTCAAGACGAGTCAATGCTAGCAGATAAAGTTTCGAGTAATCGCCTGATCAATTTGGATGCATGAATCTAAATGAAAGTGCAGCATCATTTTACTGTTGTTTCAATTTCCATCCCTTTTTGTTTAGATAACCGAGTGATTGACTTTGTCCACATCAATGGGGGGTTTGCACGGTTTTCGCCTGACCATTTCGGCGGGCATCATCAGTTGCTGCACTTGGAAGACATTGAATGAACAACAAGAGCATGGTCGTGTTGTGGTAAGTCTATGCATTACCTACTTGCTTACTTTTGCCTTTGACAGAGAAACCTTTGGCAGACACATCAATCACGCACCGTTTTGAAGAGACCAAACAGTTGCTGCAGCAACTACTAGTGGCATGTTTGTTCAAACATCTTTCTTTCTTGTTAAAAGAATTACATTTTACCATTAATTAATTTAGGATGTGCCGCTTTTTTTGTGCTGTGCTGTCGTTTTGGGCAATTGTGTTACCAGAGTGAGCTGAACAGACAAACAGAGTGCCCTTTGTTGAGGAAGGCTATTATTAGAAAACGGTATTTTTTGTTTATTATTAATAAATGCCTCCTCTCTCTGCTCGATGACCTTTGTCTTTGAAGCTCGTTGTTGTTCACTTCTCCACCAATCACACACACACACTCATTCACTGAAGTGGAGAGCAACCGCCCAGGTAACACCTAGCCAATGCTTCTTTCCGACGATGACAAAAACGCTGATGATGAGTATTTGAGTGATTGAGCCACTGACTGACGATTTGACCTGATCTTCCTCATCTCAGCTTTTAACTCTACTCATTCAGACGGTTTGTTTAGTGTGTTTGTTTTTTATCGTTAGTTTCAACTTAATTAGTGCTTTATAAGCTTCAAACAGCGTCCGACAGTAAAGTGAACTCACTGACACATCACTTTCACCGGTCGTCAATCGAATATCACTGCCACTGACCACTGCTAACGATGTTGCTTGCTTTTTGCTATTTATAAAATGGTCAGTTTCATTATAATGACATTATTAACTGGCGCAAACTGTGAAATTTTTTTCTGTCTGAACAAATCGGTGACTGGAGGCACTTTGCCAAAGTCAGGCAAACACAAGCGGCTGATCTTACGCAGTTTATTATTGGGAGATTCACAGTTGTTACAGAATCTCGTTAGTACAGGTAAATAGGTGTTGGTCGCATATATGATGAAGGAACAGGTCACGGAGCACTCTACCTCGTAGAGTGGAGTTGGAGGCATCTTCATCATCTCTCGGTGTCACTCTCGGTAGCTCATCTCCAACTAGCCAGCCACTAGCGGTGGCGGCTCCCTTTATACTGTTCTCTCGCTGGCATACTCATCACTTCAGTTCGTCGGTACTCTTCGGCATGTCAGCAATGTCCGCTCAAGGTCTGGCGCGAGTCTCTTCCGCTGGCTGACTCTTGGTTAAGGAATCTCTCTTCCAACATTTTCAAAAATCTAGATAGTTTCTCAGCAAAATAGCTTCTTTGACCAGTTTAGTGTGTGCATTTTTGTCTGTCTCCTTGCCTCCCCTTTCCTAGCAGATGATCAATTGGGATTATTGTTGCTCGGACTGCCGCTCCATGATCTATATTTAGAAGGTCACCACTTTCAATAAGCATGAGAATCCTTTTTCTNTTGACCAGTTTAGTGTGTGCATTTTTGTCTGTTTCCTTGCCTCCCCTTTCTTAGCAGATGATCAATTGGGATTATTGTTGCTCGGACTGCCGCTCCATGATCTATATTTAGAAAGTCACCACTTTCAATAAGCATGAGAATCCTCTTTCCTCTCTGCTTATCTGTCATATCTTTGCACTTTCATTCACTTTATAACTAGATCATAAATTACTCTCTGGATATAATTGATAATTAAATTAGAAATCAACTGTTATTTTTTCCCTTTTTGTGCGTATAGTTTCTATTTGTACAGTTGTACCTACTGCAAACGGGCACTGTTCAGCTCAGTGAAGAAAAAGCCATTAGCATGGTAATAGGTAATAGGTCATTTGCAAAATATTAATTTCAACACAAAATCAACAGCAGCAACAGAGGCACTTCTCTTGTGTCTATTTGTGTCTTTCTAATCTGGTCAATTAATGTCCAAATTGGCCTATTGTCTCATCCCAAAGTGTTTACTGCTGCTTGTGTCTGTGTATGTGTTTACACAAGTGATAATAATCAATTTTGCTTGTGTTTTCTNCTTTTTGTGCGTATAGTTTTTATTTGTACAGTTGTACCTACTGCAAACGGACACTGTTCAGCTCAGTGAAGAAAGAGCCATTAGCATGGTAATTAGCATAGGTCATTTGCAAAATATTAATTTTAACACGAAATCAACAGCAGCAACAGAGGCACTTCTCTTATGTCTATTTGCGTCTCTCTGATCTGGTCAATTAATGTCCAAATTGGCCTATTGTCTCATCCCAACGTGTTTACTGCTGCTTGTGTCTGTGTATGTGTTTACACAAGTGATAATAATCAATTTTGCTTATGTTTTCCTGAACTTTTTCTTTCTAAATTTGTGCAAATTTATGAACATCCTGCTGCCTTCTAGCT